CCACTGGCAGATTCTGACAGAATGCCAAAATTCTCGCGCGGACAATCGCCAAAAGTGCTGCATCCTATGTTACAAAAAATGGTTCGTCCAAGGCCCTATTCCATATACATAGTGCATCCGTTCTAATAATGTTATAACCGACACATTTGCACTATATGCTCTTTCGAAATATGTACAAAGAGAAATTGGCGGGTAAGTTGGCACCTTGCATGCGTGATTGACTACCGAATAGAGTGAAGTACTTATAGGTATGTGGTAGGTACCCTGGATACCGGTGGTTAGCGGTGAGGCCAATTGTGTTGAGAATAGATATGCACTCTCAGTTCTCACCAATGGCACTGAATGGGGAGTGCTGGAGGAAGACTATGAGAAAATTTCCCATGGCGGTGGTGATTTCGATACAACCGAAGAAGACGGTGTTCCTCCAGTAGAGGGTTTGGAATGGACACCTGATGAGCAATACCCAAGTGACTATATCAAACAACTGAAAGAATGGATCGCCATGGAACAGGATGCTCCAAAGCCCCACCCTAGCTGGACCGGTGCCCCCGAATTGTAACGGCCTTGGTTCGAAGAAATACGTGTCGCAGTCTACACTTGCAAACAATATCAAGATGTTTTGTAGCGATGCTGTGAAGCAAGGCGTTCAGGATAAGGACTCCAGATCAATTTCCCGGGACTATATCCATGGCGTAAGTCAAGTGTTTAACCTACATCCACGCACGGCGTATGGAGGTTATTGAAAATACTAATAGGTTACTGTAGGCTAATGACGAGGTTAACATCTCAATTGACTAGCCTTCTGGCATGAATATTCCGTTTAATGAAAAAGAATGTAACGATCAAATGAATAGCATCTCAGACAACTGTGACGGCAACGACCCTAGCAGTCCTAGGAACTACAAAGGGGATGAGACTCCCACAATTGGCGAAAAGGTCATCTACTATATTACCCCCCATCAGTGCCCAGAACTCCCTTCCCAACGAACTGCTTGGAGCCTGCGGCTTTCGGGATAAATTTGCCATCAAATCATTCTGGATTTGGGGACCCGGCCGGGAAACTTCGGAGCATGGGAAGAGAGATGGGGACTTGTACCAGGAACTTAAAAAGTGTAATAAGGGAGATGAATTGGAAGACAGGAACTTTTCATATGGCCATGGGTCCGATAAAAGAGAGTGGACTGCGGTTGGGAAACTATGGTACGGAAGAAGTGATTGTATTCAGACAGCTATTGAAAATGCTGGTGGGCTGAAGGGCGTGAAGTGTTCCAGAGACCTGTGAGGCGAGTTTGTGGAACAGGAAGAGGTTGAGTATAGTATAATATAAGTGGCAAGAAGTGTTTTTAGAATATAGAACTAGAAGGTGAGAAAATATGAAATATATGGAATAACTGAATATAGATTTATAGAGTTTATTTTTAAATATGAAAAATTGGCTTTATTAATATGTAATTACTGTCTTATTTATATTTTGTGCGCGTTGCGAGTAGGTGATAAAGGGGTAACTTTTTTTTGTAACTACTTACTGAAATGGATGTCTACAGTGCTTGTATCAGCCTCAAAGCTGGCTGGATGGCTAACTAGGAGTTATGAAGCCCAACCCGAGTCGATGATCTTAGGCATAAATGCAACAACCAATACCACTTGAACCAAATCAACACAATAAACTGGGGGATAAAAATTTCTAGAGCGTAATTGCGCGGGGAAAGATGAGTAGGATTGGCCATGCCGGAGCTATGGAACAAAATGTCTGAGAACTTAGCTGAAAAAGCCCAAGCTTCAAGAGGCGGGGAAGCCTGCAAGCTCCGCGTTGTAAGATTGGGTCCAAACCAAAATAGTACATACTATGTAAACCCTTGCCCCTTGAACCCTATGAGCATACATGACCAAATGATGCACCTGTTATCCTCAACTAATCGAGCTCGGCGTCCCAAATCCAACACATAGCCAAGGTGAATAATGTAAGTCCTAAATTTAGCCAAGTTAAACTCACAAACCCAAGCACTGCCGAGGAGAACTCTGTAAATTCCGTGCATACTACACAGTTTGTACGGCAAAGATCTGTCTCCGGCAACCTTGGTTGATCAGCCATGATCACCATCCTGTTGATACTAGTGCCTACCCTCAGTAATAATGGAGATTACAGTGTATTTTCTCCATTCCAATGGGTAGCATGGCCGAGAATTATTCTCACCCCTATCATCGCAATATATCCCACCTTGAGGGAGGTTTTTATACAAGACGAATGCAGGAAATGGTTTTATACATGCCAAGCTTTTATGCGCAATAGCCAGTAATTAGCGCACAGGCTCTATCACGCGACCTTATTAGTCAGCCAACCGTATTTGCACCGCAACTTTTTTGACCTTCGACGCTTTGTTTATTCGCTTCGAACCCTCCAACGAAGCAAAAGCTTCATGCACTATCACAGGCTCCGTGTTGAATATATCTCCTCTAACTTATACCCGATACACAGTCACTTGCAAATTCACTTTTCCCCGCATCCCCACTTCCCCGCTTCTTGTTAGTGGGCCACCACTCGTATTTCTTATTCCCGTGCCCAATTTCCGTTCCTATGGGATGCAGTAGACGACCAGTCATTGGAAAGCGGCCTGAGCTGTCCCTCGGCTTGAATATGGGCATCCAATGGAAAAAATAACAGGGTTATAAGTGCATTCTTCACAGTACTTTGTACCGAATATAGGTCAAATAACCGACATTATACCCAACCAATAATCCGGCCTTGGAAAGAGTGCAAAGCTGTGGCAAATGAGCCGTCACACAATAACTTCTATATGGTGAAGCCGATCAGGCTTTGCAGAATTCGTTGAGTTCAGAAACACCTGCTGCGTATATAAGGGGGATAAGGGACAACGGCTATATTCATATTGGTATCCAATGAAGCTCAAGATCAACATTGGAGAAAATCCATAATATTGTTATACTATTCAAGGATGTACAATGTCACAGTCGTATATGCTAGTGGAAGGTTGAGGACATAGCCACGCTCCCAGTCCAGCATATGAAAACCTTGCCCACGTTAACATTATTAGGCAGGATAACAGCCCCCGACGTAATGAGTACCTTCATTAACAACAGTCCACTAATCGTTTAACAGGTCATTCTCTGCTGAAACCCACATCCAAATTCGTGGCTATCACTCACCTCATGGCTAAATAGTACCGTTAGGAGAAATCTGTCCTCGGCTCTTTATATTTATTCTTACCACTTTGTTTAACCGTCTCTACCTTGGCTACGGAGTAAATCCCGAATCAGAGGATGCCCATAACGAAGCCCACAATGGCCCCTCCTTTGCATATATCCCACGCATAGGCTCTCGAAACCTACTCCCCTTTTGAGTCAAGAGTGTTAATAATTTGGTCATTCTATGGCCCCAAGCCTCAATTGGGTTACAACTGGTTCTCCGGGTGTGAGTGGACTCCCAAGAACAGTTACCCACGCGTAGCAACAAAAACTCAAAGCCAACTGCTTCATTTTATACTAAACTTGCCCTATATGCCTCGGTCAAGATTGTCCTCCATATATATAAACATGGTTGCACATGCCATGAATATAGAAGCCGATCCCGCACTGCTCATGCTGAGAGCCTGTCTTTCTAAATTTCCCACAAAGTACAATGTACAAGGATACCAAAACTTTGGGCTACCCCGGACTACCCCAGATGGGTAACAGCCCCATCAATTCCGGGGTAGTTTGGGCCAGAGACGACCTACGAGTTTGTTTACCCTCTTTCCATCTTTTACTTTATGATACCTCGGGGCAGGCGGCAGTATCTATTGATGGATACAATCTGGATATCAATTATGGGACCGCATAAAAGCCCGGAGATTCCCATATGGCACTCGGGGTATTTTGTATGATACTTCAAATCTAACCTTTATACCCGTCTCCATCTTAACTGGGTCTCTTTTTACCTATCTTATCTTCACAATGTGGTATCTCCTTATCATTGCGGCGTTATTCGCCCATCTATCAGCCGCTGCGCCAGCAATTAACAAACGGGCTGACCCTAGTATCAAATTGGATTACGCTACTGTTGTCGGGTCCAGTGTATTGGGCGTTGACTCGTTCAAAGGGATCCCTTACGCACAGCCTCCGGTTGGCAAATTGCGATTGAAACCTCCGCAGCCCATTACGACAAATCTCGGGACCGTGAAGGCCACAGGGATCCCTAGAGCTTGCCCGCAGATGTATCTCAGCTCGGATAATATCCCCGAGGACATTGTCGGAAGGTTTATCAACACACCGTTCTTCCAGGCGGTAACCAATGCCGGCGAGGATTGCCTCACAATCAATGTTCAGAGGCCATCCTCAGCAACTCCGAACTCCAAACTACCGGTAGTTTTCTGGATATTTGGCGGTGCCTTTGAACTGGGTTCCACACAGCTGTATGATGGCACCTCATTGGTCTTGAGATCTATGGCGCAGAGAAGAAATATTATATACGTTGCTGTGAATTACAGAGTTGGAGGCTTTGGATTTATGCCCGGCTCAGATATCAAAAAGGATGGATCCGCGAACCTAGGGCACCTCGATCAGCGCCTTGGACTTCAATGGGTTGCTGACAATATTGCCAAGTTTGGTGGAGACCCTGAAAAGGTTACTATCTGGGGGGAGTCTGCAGGCTCCATCTCAGTGTTCAACCAAATGACGATGTACGATGGCGACAACACATACAAAGGAAAACCTCTCTTCCGTGCAGCAATAATGAACAGTGGGAGTGTTGTTCCCGCCGACCCTGTTGACTGCCCCAAGGGTGAGGTTGTCTACAACAAAGTTGTTTCAGAAGCTGGCTGTGCCAATGCCGCCGATAAACTTGACTGTCTGCGATCTGTTGACTACACAACCTTCCTCAATTCCGCAAATTCGGTGCCTGCTTTCCTTAGCTACAGCTCTGTAGCTCTCTCTTACCTTCCACGACCTGATGGGAAGGTACTCACTGCGTCTGCGGACGTTCTGGGCAAAAGCGGACGCATTGCCCGAGTTCCCTTTATTATTGGTGACCAAGAAGACGAGGGTACTATCTTCGCACTCACACAATCCAACATCACAACCACTGACCAACTGGTCGACTACTTCAACACCTATTACTTCAATGGTGCCACGAAGGAACAACTAAAGCAATTAGTTGACACTTACCCTGATAATCCATCCGCCGGCTCCCCTTTTAGGACCGGCCCCTTCAACCAGCTATATCCGCAATACAAACGGCTTGCTGCCATTCTTGGAGACCTAGTCTTCACGCTTAACCGTCGCATCTTCCTCGATATTGCTAACCAGAAGTCCCCTGATACTCCATCTTGGTCCTACCTTGCAACCTACAACCACGGTATCCCATTTATCGGCACCTTTCACGCATCTGATATCCTGACTACTTATGGATACACACCTGGAATCCCCAGCACCAGTATGCAGAATTACTATCTTAGTTTTATTAATACTATGGACCCGAACAAGGGAACACCGTCTGGCTTCCCTAATTGGCCTCGATGGAGTGAGGGCAAAAAGCTGTTAAACTTTGAAGCATTGGGGAATAGTTTGCTCTCGGATGATTTTAGGGCGGAGAGTGCAAAGTTTGTCGCCGACAATATAGATATCCTACACATATAGGATACTAGGTAAAGGTTACGTCGTATGATATGAGTTATGAGTATATAATGGTATGTATAGTGGAATTTCCGCACAATATGATGTCTTACGCATATATTTCTAATAAATTTCATTGCAAAGTGGCCAGAACTCTTCCGGAACTTGTTTGGAAACAACCTGATTTGTAAAAGCCCTGGGTACAGCCGGGCAGTAACCAGCAACAACACCATGAAATGTGTGTCCGTAGCTAACTACGGCATGAATATAATCATCTAAATTCTACATTTTTTTAATACCACCATTGCCATCATACTGCCAGACAGCTGGCAACCCTGAGCGCCAACGCTATTATTCATCAACAAATATATCTTCCCGAAGCCAAATGAACTAAGCTAACGACTACATCGCGTTCTTACCTTATTTCCGACCCGAGATCCATTCTATATTGTGGCTGTGGCTGGTTTGTATTCGAATATTTGCATGCATCGCTTTAAGCTAATAACTAGTGGTTATATGTGGGGGATCGAGTCGTTGATATGTGATATTCTCCTATGAGTAGAACGGCTTGTTGGTAGACGTAACTGCAATATATTCATCCCCTGGAAGGGACCTTAAGAGTCAATCGAAGCTGAGCTGGCCATTTCGTCAAAACATAACCTTGATGTATTTCTATATCATAATAGTTAAGAATTTGTTTTCTTGGAGCTCTGATAAGGTTTCTGTGGTTAGCGCATTAATAAGACGCTTAACTCAAACCTCATTCTTCTACCTCACCAAGAACATCTTCTCAGCGATGACTTCGAGCGACGGAAAGTCGGCACCGGCACAGGAACCGCCAGGAACGCCTCCTCCTCCACCCTACTCCCCCGTAACGCCGGGGATATCGCAATCCTCGCGAGCAACTCCCGCCACTGAGTCGATAGTTCCGTCCCCTTTACCGCCAGCTGCTTACCCAACTGTCAGCGAAAATACCTTGGAATCTACTATTCCCTCTGTCGTTGACCGTACTAGATCGACTAAGACTAAGAATGGCACGATGCCGACTCCAACACCACCGCAATTCATAAAAGAGCCTGCACCGGTCCCGATATCCGAGAGCGAGAACCCAGATGCCATCGCTCTTCGATCTGCCATAACTATTCTTCAGATACAGAAGCAGCAGGCCCTACGAGATATTCAGGCACTGGCAAAGATGAAACAGGCGGCTACTGAAGATCCCCATGCCTTTGCCAACGAGTTCTTAGCTGGCTCTCTACAATCAGAACAGGGCGACCTCTTTCGCCCGTCCCCCCTACAGGAGGACGAACCTGAATATGGGGCGGAAAGCGGGCCAGAGGCCATGGATGTTGACCAAGAGAAGCGGACACAGCAAGACAATAATTCTGGCGGGAATCAAACCGGACGGCTTGGTAAAATACCCAAACCGCAGAACATCGTGCGCATGCCTGCTATCAACTGGGCGAAATATCATATAGTAGGTGAACCGCTGGACAGGATGCACGAAGAGCAGAGACTGAGACCTACTCTCGGCGAGCCACGACATGATATTACTCCGACATCGATATCTGCGTTAAGAAGTCCTGAACACACTCTAGCAGCGCCATATCGGCCCTTTGTGGATAAAATTGAACCACGTGCGAAGGCTAGAAACGCGGGCAAATGAGCTCTGGAGTTCAGCTAACCGAGGTGCCAATCTCTTGAGATATCTTGTCCGATATTTCCTCCGGCAGATAATATAATGTTGGCTATCTGCGAGTAGCAGCTGGCATCTACCTATGTCTACAGCACGAAGCCTGATAGTCTCTGCCTGGTAGTGGGTATCCTTTAGATTAAGGGTCCAAAAGGGCAAGTCTCATATAATCACGTGATATAACACAATCCTTGGTCACGTGGAAATTTCGGAGATTAACGGCGAGAAAAGCCCATTGCAACAAAGCCCAAGCAAGCTGCCATGGCGATTTTATCATCCCTGAAAAAAGCATTTCCAGCGAAGGACAAGTTACGCCGACGTAGTGTTCTGCATGCTGTGTACAGGCTAGCTGCCTATTCCACATCAAACAATGCACCTGTAGATGAGGATCAAGAAGAGAGCTTCTTCCGGTTTACCCGTGGACGCTTTGTCTGTAACGAAGCGGAACAACAGAGGCAACGACATGTCAAATTCAACGTGGGTGAGCTAGCTACTACGGCAGCGAAGGCTATCGGCGCGACGCGATGCGTAAAAGTCCAAAAATGCCCTGACGGTCTTTATAATAAAGCATTCTTACTTACAATGGATAACGGTAAGGAAGTCATTGGTAAAGTACCTAACCCTAATGCCGGCCCGGCGCATCTTACCACTGCCAGCGAAGTTGCTACAATGGACTTTGTAAGTATAGGGTATTGTTTCTAAGGTTTTGGCTTCGGTACCACTGACTAATGGTTTTTTTTTTAAGGCACGGAATGTCCTCCAGACCCCGGTTCCTCAGGTTTATGCGTGGAATTCTAGAGTCGATGAAGCTAACCAGGTCGGAGCTGAATATATTATCATGGAAAAACTGCCCGGGATCCCTTTAGGAGCAAAATGGGGCTCACTTGATCCCCCAGATAAGCTTAAAGTGTTCTTACAAATATTCAAATACCAGAAAAGATGGACAGTAGTAAAATTTTCTCAATTCGGCAGTCTCTACTATTCGAAAGATCTCGCAGATCGACCCTTGCCAGGAAATAGTCTCTACATCGATGGAAATAACCTGCCAGTACAGGACAGCCGTTTTGCTGTTGGTCCAACTGTTGGCCGTGGTTGGTTACATGATAGAAAGGAGAATCTTCAGTGTGATAGAGGGCCTTGTAAGTCTCTGTGCATTGATCTTTAATAGGTGTTTACTAATATAATGATTTAACAGGGAATTCTCTTTTAGAATATAGTCTGGCAATTGGACACCGAGAGGAAATGGCAGTTAGGACATTAAAACACGTTCCAAAACAGTGTATCATGTTTCAGGGTCCAGGAGCGTACCAACCTACTCCCAAGAAGAAACTTGCGGCACTTGAGTCATATGCTCAGATCCTAAAACATATATTACCAAGAGAAGCTTGCCTCGCTACGGGCTGCCTGTGGCATAACGATCTACACTACGAGAATATATTTATTGACCCAGATAAACCAACAAAAGTCGTCGGTATAATCGATTGGCAATCTACTCAGATAGCCCCTTTAATTGACCATTTCCTAGATCCTAGCTTTCTAGGTTATGAAGGTCCTGATGTTGGTGACGATCTTCAACGACCTACTCTCCGCGATGATATTAACTCCCTTGATCAAAATAAAAGGGCCGCCGCTATTAAAGATTTTTATAACACATGTGTTATGGTAGGGTGGAGGATGCTCGTTAGAGCAAATAATCCTGACCAATACGCAGCAATTAGGTTCCAGCAATCGAAAGCCGGGGAGATATTAGGTCTTTCGAAAAATCTATTTATACTCGGTGAAGCGCATTTTCGAGCTCTAGTACTTGATCTAAAAAATGAATGGGCAGAGCTAGGCAAAGAGTTCCCTCTGAAGGTCTCTAAAGCAGAAATTGAAGAAATAGAAGCAGATGTGGAAGCCGCTGATCTAGGGGTCGAGGTTATGAACGGGATTGTTGAGAGGATGGGCGATTTGTGGCCTGATAAGGGTCTCATCGAACATGAAAACTACGAAGCAGCTATGGCAATGCTACGGGATATCAAAAGGGAGCTTATGGAGCTGGTTGTGCACTCCGCGGCGGATAGGAAGGCTTTTGAGACGTTTTGGCCTTTTGACTGCTAGTAATGTGTCTGCTGCTGGCAGCCTCCCAAGTCATTGGCGAGTGAGAACCTATTGCCATTCCACTGGCTCATCTTATTGCCCTCACATATTCTGCTTTTCTCTGCTGGCCCGTTACCTATGTACTAATATTATAACTAGATCAACTACATACATACTACGTAGGCAGTTGGAATGTATTTATAGTTCTGAACTAACTATACTAAATTCGGCATGGTGAGCTTATCAGTTTTTTCTTTTAAAGTTATCAGACCACCGGATAATTAGCTAGTTTGTATTTGCACCAAGCTCTACGTTCTGACCACACAAACGAGCAAAGATGAAGCGCAAGGCGGATTCTGAGCCGCAAGGCCTATCTGAAAATGGCGACCAGCTTGGAAAGAAACGAGCCACCTCAATTGAAATGATAGCACCCTCGTTCGCAGATGGTCTCTTGGAGAAGGATACGCTTGAGAAATACAAAGCAGCATACGCGACATCAGGACCGTGAGTAGATATTTATTTTTTTTCTTCCACTTATTTACTTAAACCTGCTATCTACTTCAATTGATAACATGGAACCTGCTAATTTCTTATATTATGCGGAAACAGATATAAACATGGCGTTATCTTCCCGTTAATTAATGATGACCTCCTCCGTTCCGTACGCAACGAGATTCAAGAACACATCTCCTTCACGGAGAAAGAAACGGACATCTACAAGATATTCCAATCGGGAGACCTAGCAAATCTTGATGGATTAGACGATGAGTCACTCTCACGGCTGCCCTCTCTGTTAAAGCTACGAAACGCTTTATACTCGGGTCCGTTTAGAGAGTACTTATCTGAAGTTACCGGTGCAGGAAAGTTAAGTGGTAGCAAGACTGATATGGCTGTCAATGTCTATACGGGTGGATGCCATCTACTGTGCCATGACGACGTCATTGGTAGTCGCCGTGTGAGCTATATCCTCTACCTGACTGACCCGGACGTGCCATGGAAGCCAGAATGGGGTGGAGCTCTGCGATTATTCCCAACCACGACGGAAACGAATGCTGATGGGGAAGAAATTAAGATCCCCAAGCCAGACTATACTGTTTCTATTCCACCGGCCTTCAACCAACTGAGTTTCTTCGCGGTGCAGCCTGGTGAAAGCTTCCATGATGTGGAGGAGGTGTACCATATGGAAACGAAGGGTAGTGAAAAGGAGATCAAATCAAGAGTGCGCATGGCTATCAGTGGCTGGTTCCATATTCCACAGGAGGGTGAAGATGGGTACGAGGAAGGCCTTGCGGAGAAGCTTGCTGAGCGAAGCAGTCTCCAGCAGCTTCAGGGCGAAGGTGATGAGTTTGACCGGCCACAGCCACAGTTCGTGTCTTATAAGCAAGCCGAGGAGACGGATACATCCTCCAAGGGTAAGGCAGCCGCGACGGCTGAAGATGATGACGGTGAAGGGTTCAATGACAAAGACCTTGATTTCTTGCTCAAGTACATCGCGCCTTCATACTTGACGCCTGATGTAGCAAGCCAGCTCAACGAGATATTTGACAATGACCGAATCGTCCGACTTGAGAAGTTCCTTTCCGAGAAGTTTACCCCACGTCTCCGCGCTTACATCGAAAGCCAGGAGAAAGATGACACATTCCCCACCTCTGCTGAAGAGATTGAGCAGAAGACGGAATGGAAAGTCAGCCGACCTCCACATAAACACCGGTATCTATACCAGCAGCCATCTCTGGACAAGAACGGGGATGTACAAAGGGAGAAGACGCCGATTCAAGAGCTGCTAGAGGACCTGTTGCCATCACGCGCATTCAAGAAGTGGCTCTCCGTCGTTACTGGGTTGGATGGTTTGCTAGGCTACAATCATCTTGCCCGCAGATTTAGGCGTGGGCAAGACTATACCCTTGCCAGCGGATACGAGGGTGAATCCCCGCGACTCGAATTCACCATTGGCATCACACCCACCTCTGGATGGGAAAAGGAAGAAGAAGACGAAGAAGAAACAGAGAATGCAGACAAGCCAAAGGCCAAGGAGACAACCAATGGCCAAGCCAAGCCGGAAGCAGCCGCAGAAGCAAAAGAAGAAGATCCATCTGTCGGAGGCTACGAAATCTACATGGCAGGTGACGATGATGAGGACGAGAACGAAGATGGCGGAGCTGCTGCCGAGCAAACGCTGGGCTCTACGGGAAGCAAATCAAAGGTGAACAAGTCAAAGGCCGACCCAGCCATCTACAAGTCTTCTACCAATGACGAAGATGATGGGATCCTGTTTAGCATGGCGGCCGGCTGGAACCGTATGAGCATTGTGCTACGGGACCAAGGGCCGCTGAAGTTTGTCAAGTATGTTAGTCGTGCAGCCAAGGGCGATCGGTGGGATATTACTGGGGAGATTGACGTGGAGTACGACGACGAGGACGATGAGGATAAAGGTGATGACGACTGAAGCTTTCTCTAGCCAGCTTTTGTAGATACATGTCTATTCGAAGTACATCGCTATGTTGATCAATGAATCATTAGAAGACGACTTCTATATGCAGCTGCTTCACTACGATATACAGCATAGATATAAAATAAAAGCAGCGCTGCTCACGCTAAGACTTTCGGCCCTTGTAGCGTAGGGGTTATCGCGTCATACTTGTAATTCATATTATGTCATATGAAGGTCACCAGTTCGAATCTGGTCGGGGGCACACATCTTTTTTTTTTTTGGTTTTTTCTACTGACTCTGTTGAATATCTGTTTGAAGTCATATATTGTCACGATGAAGACTACCAGGATTGACATTTCGACCAGCTCGCGTATTCATCTCTTTTTCTATCCCACAAACCGGGGAAATTCAATACCAAGGCTTTAGTTTCATGTAATTAGTAACTTGTCACTCTCTAGTTTCACCCCCTCAGCCTCATGCTGGGAGATGTCAAAGGAAGAGAAAATGGGGGCCAGCACTAACAGCACAAGCTGTGAGTCGACCCTATTTTTGCATCAGCTCTGATCCCAATTGTTAGAACGTATACAGAGTATGCCAAAGAAATAGCATGGAGGAGCCGGATCACCCGGCAGCAGGACCCGGCAAATCATATAAGAGAGATCCTTTGCATTGGCTCTGTACATACATAGTACTATGTAAGTCTGCTTCCTGGAGTCCACATATATAATCCTCTCTCAATGTATGGAGCATTAAAGTTAACGTTCAACAGCGCGATTTGATCATCCATCTCATATTCATGACAAGGTCGAAGGCAGAAGAAATTGGATCGTGGGCGAAGAGAGGGGGGAAAAACCGTTGTTTCAATCGATCTCAATCTCCCCTTCTTGAATCGAGCCGTTGTTCCCTTGAAACGGCGCACGGCACCCCCTTCTTTCATCAACCGGCGTATCGAGAGGGAGATGAAAGTGCTCTTTTTTCACTTTTCACCCCAAGGGACGTTACTCCGCTTCGCCTCCTCCCGTCCCTGTGCAACCCCTGCTTCTCATGCGATGGCTCCCATCAACCCGGTCCCCTACATTGGCCACTGCTGGCCTGGGGCCCTGGGGCCGACTAAGGAATTGTTCATGCATAAGCCCTTATATTAGACCCAACATAAAAAGTGCGCCAGTGATGCATGAGGTCGATCTTGCTGGCTGCCGGGGGGAAGGATATTAACTAGGTAACTTTGTTGAAAAGGGCAGGTAGTAATTTACCGCTCGGTAATGGTATACTATGTACGTACATCATTGTGCATCCTACATATCTTCTGGCCATCGATTATTGATGGTATATTGGCTGGCTTTCGAAGCACGTTACATAGTCCTATATACTCCGTATATATAGGGAAGGGATGAGTATACGCAAGGCACAGATATATTTCAATCCTACAATCCACGGAGTACTGCTCTAGGGGCAATATATGGACGAGGCGTAATATTCGAGTTACACACCGTGCTCCCTCCCGGGCTGGACGCAAGTAATACATATAATGCCGGGTAGTAGATGGATTACATAGTCCATATATTGGGCCCCGCGTTACTAATTTGTTTTCCAAACGAATCAGCAAGTCTGCACGGTTTTTCAATGTGTATATACCAGAGCCAATCCATAAACAAGGGTTTAGCGCCTCAATGCAGGTTATGGGCTTGAGGAATATGAGATGATTGTCCTTGGTGCTGTCCTTGAAAGGATACAGACGGCAACACTTCCTTGATCAAGATGCATAGTCGATCTGTTGAGTCAGTATATTTATTTCGTTCCTGGCCAGAGAAGTTGCAAGGAAAGATAACACTCAGGCATTTCTTCTCTCTCCCTCATTACATAGTATGGTGTACTATGTATGTGCCCCAGGCCTAGGATGTTAATAGGCTCCATGTATAAGCAGTTCGACCGTCAATCGTTTTGCTGTCATTATCGAACCAAGAGAAAGGTACCTGCCGAAGTGACTCGGAGCCGACCTGGGCATCTCCAGGGTATCTCCTAACATGCTGTGTCAGCGGAAGCAAGGAGACCAGGAAGGCCAAGAGAACGCCTCAAACAGGCATATCCCGGGCCATGGATATATAATACATGTTCATATAACCAGGGCAGGCGGATGGCGCCTTATTTGGGTCAATCAGCCGTCCAGCTCCAACTGTCGGGCTATAATGGCAGGTAGGAGCGGGCATTAAGTATAGACTATAATATTCATCCCTGTTCGTCTCCTATTATGTTCGGCAGGAGAAGCGTGTGACGCTGCAAATGCAACATGTGGTGTCGTGCTATTATTATATGAAATACGATATTGCTCGTCAGGCAACTGCAGGAAAACTGATTCTAGGCCATCAAGTTCTATAGGTATGTTGATATATTGTACTCCGGGTACTGACTGTCAAGAGCTGATATATCCATTCCTCCGCGCCATAATGATTCCAGAATATCGGTATGCCCACGGGTACTTATCCTTCTCGTCGGGACGTTTATGTATCGGCAGCCAACACGTTTCTTGAAACCGGGTAGTAACAACTAACAGGATGTACTTATACAACATATCTAATAAGGATTTATACAGGCAAAGGCGTTATTGCCAGGGAGATGCCGTGCTGAGTTAGCCACTCTCCACAAGTGCAAACGCCCTCATCAGAAAAGGAATAAATCGAAGAATCAGATAACCACAGCTTCGTTTGCAACAACTCAAAAGGTCGTGGCGTTTAGACGGAGGTATTCTGCATCTTACCGTACATACAGCCGTACCTGTACCTACATACTTACTATAGTATATGTAGCATATAGTGCCGCTACTTTACTCAATAGAAAACGTGTCTCGAAAACGTTAGGAAATGAGATCGGAAGACAATCGCTAACCGTCCCCCCCATTCGGAAGAAAAGACCGATGAAAGGGCATGAAATTACCGAGTCCAGACCAATGGGCCGGCAGAGACTCTCGAAAGGGCAAGTTATGGCAAATTGGACGGTTGGAAGGAGGTTTCAGACCCTCGCGAATGCCTGACCCTTGGGACTTCGGTCAGGCTGGCGAACGCCTTGACATGTCTCTTTTATTTATTACTTTTTTTTTAAATGAACGAAAGAGAGTTTGACACAGAAGGCACGAAGAAAGAGAAGCAGCGTGGTCAGTCAGTATGACCATACATATAGTAGGGTTAACGTTAGGCTTTGGCTTGGTGGGTTATCCTCTTCCCCCCCGGTCCGAGGAGGCCGCTGGAAGAAGCTGATGAGAGGCGTGGAAGCATCAACAGATATTCATCATGCGGTGGCCGATCACAGTCACAGTCACACGCACGATCTGGGCCACGATCACGGTACACGAGTGAAACTATTGTTTGTTACTGGGAGAGAGAGCTGTGATATGATGTATAATATATTACTGTGTTGTGACCACATCGGACACGGTACATAGTACGTGTTGGCTGTTTACAAGGCGCAACAGCAACGGGTACCTGAAGTTCGGGAGCAAAGACCCCAGTGGATACATGTTGTGAGTGAACAAGCCGGAGCACATCCTCTATTAAGTATAGGTGGTGTTACGTGATGTAGCTATGCCGTATATGTGTCAGATGCTCCGTATGTACATGTCGATGGTGAGAACACAAGAGCAAGACGAGCGGCAAGGTCAACCAACCACACAGGCGAACCAAGCTCCAACTTTTTGCGGCCAGAAGGAAGGGAAAAAAAGTCTTCCAAGCAAGTGAAGGCGAGAGGGATCTTCGACGGATTAAAACTCTCATGCGACAAACGTGCAAGAAGGACGGGCATCCCTGCTTCTCCATGGAAGAATACGCCTTTTCCAGGGCTGGGCGAATGATATCGAGTTTGGGTTACGTGGCAGTTTGAAGCCAAGGGAAATATCATCCATAACACCAAAGGTTAACTCTCTCTGTGTGCGTGTGTGTGTGGGTTTGCTGCTGAAGAAGGCCATGCATGGGGGATTAACATCTGCCGGGGAGTGGGATCGGATGGTCAACACGAGGGAGGCCTGTCTGCGAAGAAGTTTGGCCCCCCCCGCGGCGATATTACATAACAGCTCATAAATCATTTTGGTTGGCTGGAGGACATAGGCTGCCCTGGCAATGTGCATGTTGTTCTGTTTGTCCAAGGATCCAAGAGGAAGAGGAGGCAGACCATATATACAGATACAACCCGGGCAGGCAGACGCATCGGGTCATTAGAGGATAGACGAAAGAGGATAATAAAGAAGGGGTAGAAGAATAAAGGAAGGACGAGGAAGAAGCAAAGAGAGTAAGAAAAGACCTGGCTTGGGAACAGTGTTGAGGCTGGTGAAGAGGAAGGGGAAATGCGACCTGTCAGGTTGCACGGATGAGCGATGATGGGCAGGCTCAACAGGCGGAGGACAAAGGGTTGTGCAGCTCGAATCACGCCGCACCGTCTCTCCCACTAACATGGTACATAGTAGATATCTCTCTCCGCTCTGTTTTGCTTGACTGGTGCCACAGAATCTAAATATCCAGTCGTTTCCCCCCTACTTTATGGGCTGCTACTATGTAGAAGTGGTATGTATCATGTATGGTAAGGTACGGTAACACTTAGTCAGCAGCATGGCGGTGGAGCGTGGCCTTCCCGCGAACTCTTTTTTTTTTCTCTCTTCCCGCTCGTATCGGGAAGGCCAAGAAGGGGAAGCAGAAGAGCCTGGCCGTTCCTCGGTCACACATGTCTGCTTCCTCTAGTTCTTTTCTTCTGCTCCGCCCTTGACGGACAGGAGGCAAAACATCTTCATCTTAGCTCTCCTATCGACTATATTCATGCATGCAAACTCCATAACTCCGTATTATCTTTCTATTTTCCTCTTTGTCTTGCTTTTTTGTTAAGGCTCGGCCACGTGAGCGACGGGACCCTTTTTGGGTGCCAAGAAAACTCGTGGCGCTTGATTAGTCATAGTATTGTTACTGTGTATTGTCATGACGCATACAGCGATACACACACGCACTTTTCTCTCTTTGCTTTCTCTCTTGTTCGAGCAACGACGAGGATTCATGGACTAGCATCGACTTGTAGACTCGACTAAGATCTGGTCGATGCTAGTCGATCTGACGGATCAGGACTAAACAGGCAGGGAAAATGAGAGATCATATTACTTCGCGGGTTATCGACCCAGATATACGGATATATATGTGCTATGGGGAGACTATTCAGCATACATACCATAGATATCTCTCGACGATGGCCTAACAAACGACTGCGCTAAACCTGGATATGGATGATGAATTACGGAGGAATGACACTCTTCCAGTGCAACACCCAGAGGCACTCTCGCGACCGTCGCACAAAACAGCAAAACGAGATTCCCGGCTCGTGGCATCCGGCCTGGCTCTGGGCTCTCCCTGGCTTTGGCTTTCTCCATCGTCTTCTCTTTTTCTTCTCTTGGGTCTTGTCTCGACGTGGAATGGATGCAGTGGAAGATATTTGGTGGAAGACCACGCTGGGCTTGAGCTCGGACACGCGGCCACGGGGGCTTTTACTCTCGCCTGGCTCTCTGCTTTCCTGACTCTTCACTGGGTGACTTGCTTTTTTGCAAGGACCGGTCAGGTTGTCAATCTCAAGCCCTCCTCGCTAGGGTTAAGGAAAAAGGAAGAAAGACGAAGAAGAAACCCAACGCACCTGCACACGCGCTTCCTCCTCCCGAGAAAGAGCAATTTATCTAGGCGTGGGCGTGGGTTTAGTGTATTTATGGAACGTGGCGTTCGTCGATTACAGGATGTGTGATGTGATGGTGACGATGGGGAACGGAAGAAGAAAGCATAGCCTGAGACTGGGACCATGGCCATTTAGTGCAAGATGGTGGACATGGGAGGCCCTGGTCAGCCCTAAGCAGGGAGGCCAGCCGAAGGATGGGGACGGAGAGATATACCACTCGATGTATAGACACGCCATGTGTATATACATCAGAGGCAGGCATGGGCGTTGGGCCTGTCGAGGCTGAGCAGGCAGGCAGGCAGGTAGTCAAGACAGCTGGAATGTCTTATCTATGAATATCTCTCTGCATCTATTCCAGTTGACATCCATAGCAAAGGACCATGGGCTATCTATTGCGATATATATAAAAAAGATGTTTTTCTAGTAGGAGAAAAATGCAGAGGTAGGATGTATTGATGTATTGTAATACAAATACGGTAAAACACATACTTTCAATAGAGCTTTTGTAGGGTTTTTAGATTACGGAGATTACGAGAAAAACGAACCAGAGCCAACCTCCTTCGACTTTCTTCCTCTTCTTCTCTCTCTCTTCTTCACTCGCTTCTTCCTCTTCCTCTTCAACTTCTTCGCTCTCTTTGCTCTGCCTCACGATAGGGATAGACCAGTCGATGCAGAAGTTGACGCTCGGGTTGATGTCGACGTCAAGCTGACTCGGTCGTCCGCCTTCTCCCCCCCCGTTTTCCGTCGCATGTCGCTTTCGATCTTGCTGCTGTGCTGACCGGCCCTGAAACGACCCCAGCACCAAATCGGAAGAAAGGCTCATATATACATCCATTGTACACAGTATACATACGCTCACCCTCGTTTGGATCCAAAGATGGAGGCCTCAGTAGCCCACCGGCCATGGGAAGACAGCCGGCCTGCGCCCAACACCAACGGCCACAACGGCAGCCAGACAACCCTCACCACCCTGCCCTCCATCTCGACTCTGACGGCGTCAATGCCTGTCGACAAGACGCCCATTCCCGTCGCATCTGGTGAGAAATCACCCGCCCAGGCCTCGATGAACACGCTCGAACGAGACTCGGGGACCTGGTCAATGCCTCAGAGTACCCGTACGTACCATCCGAATTCAGCTCGTGTCGAACGGAGGGCTCTGTTGTAATGGCGATATTATCATTGTTTTCCATAGCTAACTGGCATTCATATACAGGCTCGTCGACGTATTCTAGCACAACAAACAATACCAATGGCTACCACCAGCACTCCTTTCTAATGTCCTCCCAGCAGTCGCCCAATCGACTGTCAGGCGTCTCCGAGCCACCCTCCACTGCCACGGCCGTGTCTTCGCCAGTATCAAGTCATGCCTCTCCAGGCCAGAATCCCGTCCTTCCGTCCATCAACCACACCATGGACTCCCACCAGCAACAGCTTCAACAGCAGCAGCAGAGGCAGGCACAGGACTACACCGAATCTCGCCGCAGTAGCATCGACAGCCGCATGAATCAAGGCATATCTGCTCTCCAGATCAACCCTACTTCTCCCTACCACAGCACCAACGCCTCCCAGTCGTCTGTTGTCTCTGGTATGCCGCGAGACCGCATGAGCTACTCACACCATTCAACCTCATCTCGCTTCCCTCCCGGCCAGTCGACCCAACCACCTCTCTCCCCTCTGGGACCTCGCGCACAGGACCACCGTGGACCATTCCCCCCCGGCCGCACTGCACCTCCTATCTCATCCAATCCTCGGCCCGAAGAGTTTCACGCCGACTCACCGGTGCCTGGTCAGGCATATGCTTTCCCCGACCCAAGCATAGCACACCATCACTCTTCATCACTCAACGCGCAAGGCCCTGCGCCCCCAATTTCACATAACCCACGTCCCGAGACCTTCCATGCCGAAAATCCGGTGCCGGGCCAGGCGTATGCCTTCCCAGATCCGAGCTTCAGTCGGGCATCGACCATATCTGCGCCCACCGATAGGCCGTCAACCCAGTTCTCGAGAAGGCACAGCACCGCCGAATCAATGAACAGCAGCATATACACAACGGAGTCAAGGCTTCCAGCGGGGCAGCAGGGTATATATGCCCCATTGTCCTGTCCACCGTACTCTGTTAATATCTTTTATAACTAACCGTATACAATAGAACTGCCCCAAAGTGTCCATCACCACTCCCTCCAACACCGCCAGGTCCGTAACATAATAGGAGAAGGCGATCCAAATGGTGCAACCCCATACAGCCGCACCCCCGAACTTCGCGTAACGCACAAGCTCGCTGAACGCAAACGCCGCAGTGAAATGAAAGATTGCTTCGAGGTCTTACGAGCACGTCTTCCCTCCGCCCAGAACAACAAATCAAGCAAATGGGAAACCCTCACAAGAGCAATCGACTACATCAACCAGCTGGAGAAGACCGCATCTCAATCTCGCGCTGAAACCAACCAGCTCCGTCTCGAAATAGAGGAAATGCGCGCACAGTTAAGTCAAGCTCAAGCTCAGCCCCAGCAACAACAACAGGTCCAGCCCCCACTAGCTCGTCGAGCTAGCTTTGAACCTTCTTCGTTACAGCAACAACAACAGCCACAGCCACAGCCCATGCAAGTGAACGGCAACGGACAGCTAACACCTCCCCCGAACCCCGGCACGTTATTCCAAGGACACAGCCACGTCCAAGCCCACCACGGCCATCATGCACATCATCCGCAGCACCCGCAAGCACATGGGCACTACTCACCTCCATCGAATGTGACACCCACATCGCATGGTTCTCCGGATCCATCACGGACGCTACCACCGCTAATGAACGGGTCCCTAGCCCCCATGCAGGGAGTGCAGTATACCGATGAGCGGAGATGACATATCCACCCAATATCATAAATAGTACAACGTCTACCGATGCTACATGTGCATTATTACTCTCTTTTGAATATTTCTTTTCCGCTTTATCTACATAACCGGTCCCCATCATGACGTCTCAGGATGACTCTTTTTCTTATTTTTTCTGCCGCTTTCCTCCTGCTCTAACACCAACTTTTATACATTCACCAGGTCTTTACCAACCTGACCATCCGGGCTTTGCCCTGCATCTCTTTTGTTTAGTATTCTCGCAAAGATATCCCACCATTTATCTACAAACTACCCCCTACCTCTTTGTGTTCTGGGCCTAGAAATCTGTTTCTTTTCCACAAACCAACCCGCTTATACCTATCTACCTCTCCTTTTCACTTCGTGATTGTCCTTTCTACAAAATTACGCTTTTACTCCCCTATCCCTCCCTGGGCTTCATATTCCCCTTGATCTATTCGTGTGTATGCTTTACTGCCAGTGACAAAACGGCGTGCTAGGAGTGGTCTATTTGACATGAATATTCTTCCTTTTTTTTCTGATTTATCTATTCATCTCGCTTCCTCGACCATTTGCTTTTTTCCTCGCTTATTTATTTCTCTTATCTATCGGATCATCTGGATTTCATATGCTTTTTTTCCCCTTCTTCCTGGATATTTGTTTTTGGAATGGAAATGGGAATCATGTTTGTTCGACTTGCTTTTTAGCATGTACTCTTTCCCTTTTGTTTCTCTTTTTATCGTTAGGATAGGCAGAGAATGAGAGAAAGCGAACAATGACTGAAAGGAAGATATTTGATTTTATAAGTAGAAGTTGAAGCAAGAGATATAGAGAAGAGAGACGGGGCTGTACAGATAAACAGAGTCTAAGAATAGAAGAAGAATAGAATAACTTTCCCTGTTTATAGTTGAGAATATTATCAATAATAAGTGTAGTATATGTAGGCATTAACTATGCATGATGTTTGTGATATGTGACTAAAGATGCAGAGTGGAAAGTCAAGGTGAGACGTTTGGATTTCCGCTTTTGGCTAACTCGACCTCACTTCTTCGACTTCACTCCTTCAACTACATCTTGATATCGACCATCAACATCGAAATCAATAAGCCAACTACTTTATTCGCATGAACTATGCTGTCTATCTAGCATGTACTCCGTACAACTGTCTGGATATAAATAGCAGCAACCCCTTGACCAAGCGGGCGCTAAGAGAAACTTATCGATCCTAGCCAGCCCAATCACAGCCATAGCTTTACCAGCCCAGGATCGCGATGCTTTTCACATTCTCAGCCTGCAGGCCCTGCAGATGCCGCTCACTGGCCCGTTGCATCAAGATGCCCTGTGCCTAGGGGCGGTTAGAAAGCTCTCTGCCTCTTGACAGGCCGGGAGATGCTCTCCACCAGGTTCTCTGCAGAACTCGATGGCTGGTCATGATTGGACATGGCCATGCTGAGAATACCCCAGGGGAAGTTTATTTATATTAGAAACGCTGTACTTCTGCAGAGGAGGGTCAAGGTATCCTCTTCTACAGATACCTGTTTCTTCTTTCTCTTCTGTCTTCTCTTTCTCTTATGTGTACTCTGTACATTCACTCTTTTTCATGACTGCAGCGCTGTGCGTTGATCTACAGTCTGTACATTCACTTCACTACAGAGTTATTGAACATCTTTATTCTTATTCTTCTACATACATATTAATCATTTTTCTGGGTTATGATATCGTATACTGTCGCCATGGCGATTGTTTGAATAATTCTTCTCTTTATTATTGCTACGTGATAACGATGATATTGCTTCTACAAACAACATACACTTCTCGAACCACACAGATATTACCAGGACACTCGCCACCATGTCCAACAACCCATTTACCTCTTCATATGGCCAGGGGCGAGATGGCCCAAAGCCCGCGGAGCTACAGCTGCCCCAGATGCCGACCTTCCCACTCTCGTCTCCTATAGGCGAAGAGCTACTTACCCCGTTCGACGACCTTGACTCGTCTCCAGACCCTTCCAACCCTTTCTCCTCGTCCAAGGACGCGCATGTTCAGGCCTTCAGCTCTAATAACCCATTTCTAACGACAAAGGAAGGGCTAGGCGGTATATCGAAGCTCAAGGGCCGCTTGGGGTCAGTTAAGCAGCCGACTCGCGTCAACGTGATCAAGAAGAAGACCAGACCTGGCTTGAATCTGGTGACGAACTTTGCTTCGCCTGATGCGCAGAATAAGACGCACCAATGGGCTCTACAGCAGCAGGACCAGGATGGGAAACAGTTTGTCGGACTGGATGAATTGCAGGAGATGTATGACCCGTCAACAGTCAACACAAAGAACCTCCGTCTCGATACTTCACATCTCAAACCTAGGGTAAGGCCAGCACGCGTTGAGAAGCGCCAGTCTACTCGAAAGATTCCCCCACGTCTGTTCCAGAAGCCTCCTTCTCCAGATGTAGCGGTATCACCGTCTGATCGACCCATCGTCATCGGTGTATCTGTACCCCTGGGTTCGCCAGCAGCATTAGCGTTTAGCTCGGATGCGAGGTCTACACCCGGTAGATCAAATAGCATACACAGCCTACGCAGCCGCGGGAATACACCTGTTACGCCTAACATTGTTGTCACGCCTGCTGGTGAAGAACGCGGTTGGCCCGTGGACAAGATGGAAGAAACTCGACAAAAACCCAGGCCGACGTCAAGCATCTACTCGCAGGCTACTCCCCTTATAAGAGGGATCAATAGGACGGAATATATCCCACCTGTTCCTGCTTTACCCCCACCAGAGGCTTATGCCGGCCATGGAATCGAGGACCCGTTTGGAACAATGGAGGCAATATCAGAACGACGAAGGCGCGTACTTTCATCAGGAACAATGTTTGAGGAAGACTGTTCATCGCCCAGACAAGCTCCTCGACCACGATCCTTCTCCAACAAGGACCTAAGTCAGAATGAGGGCGGTCTAGCTGCATCGTCGAGCCGGTTCAGCCTGGAGACCATATCTCCCCGTCGTCGATCCGAAGGCTGGTGGAACTATCTACTCTCTCCGCTCATATCACGATCCAGCACAATGACTACTATCAACACTATTCACCGTAATGGATCTCAGGGAGAGGTTGAAGAGCGTCCACCCGTGCCAGCACTACCAAGCAACTCTCGTCTACACCTTGCAATACCGATCAAGAACGACGAGCCATCACTTACAAGTAAGGGATGGCGTGACAAGCAAGTCTCCGTCTTTTCGCCCATAACTCCAGAAACAGCTACCGAAAAGGGGTCCCCATCTGTCAAATCTCCAGGCTCAGGCTGGCGTGAACGATTGGTTTCTGTCTTTTCACCAATCACTCCTGACAGTGCAGGGACTAATAAGGAGAAACGAATACTGAGTAATGTCACTGAATGGCCGGATATTGACCACTGGTACTTCCAACAAGAAAAGAAGATGAAGATTGACACTACCAATCTTACCATTAACACAACTACCAAAAACAAGGGTAATGCCACCAATTCACCTAAACGGCTTGCCAATGAGGAGTATAGAACTTCCCTTTGCTCCGCGGTGACTTCACAGTCAATTCCATTCATGATGTCGGATCCTTCCAGTCACCACGCCAGTGTCAGCACTGGACCTAATCATACCTCCACGAATGCGCTGAATGATCCATCTTTTGCTAATTATTCCAACACATTTGACTCTAGCCCACCGCGGCCAACGAAGAGAGACTCCAATGCAACTATTCGTAGAGCGAATTCTCGCGAGGGTCAAAACACAAATAACCCTTTCTTCCAACAGTTTGTCAACAACATACGGGGTGAGGACAGCAGAAGGCGCTCAGACTCCGCTTCTACTATGATCGAAGAAGATGAGCCCGACATTTCTCCCAACGTCCGCCATGCAACTGCAACCCCTATCTTCCAACACGCCATGCCAACCATGGTCGGAACTCGAAGACCGCCTCCAATAGTACCACCGGTGCCAGAACGAACTAGCATCGCAAGTTCTGATTCTTCAGACTCTACTGATCCAACGCCTGAGAGGCCAAAGAATAAGCTTGCGGGTATAGGAACTATAAAACGCAAAACTGTTCCAAAATACCATGTCGTTTTACCCCCGGATAGGCAGCCACCACTAGAGTCTCCAGGTCCTCTGTCCCCAGAGGCTCAAGCAACTCTGAATTCTGGTGGTATCCCCATGAACGATGTTCCATTACCCCGTCGACCGGACAGGACGTACCTCCAACCAACATCCAACGCTCTTCCTCGTCATCCAAAGGTATCACCAGTCATCCTCCAGACACCAATTATCCGCCAGACCCCTAGAATTGGCACCAAAGATATTCACATCAAAACAGAAATACAGCGGAAAAAAGTAACCCGTAAAGAAGTTATCGGCGAGGACGGGAGTTTTTGGCGCGGGCAAAACTGTCGATGTAGAAAAGGCTGTGCTGGTGGTCGTGATTGCGAAGGTAGAAAAAGGCGGAGAAAATGCTGCTGGATCATTATTATATTGATCTTGCTTCTTTTGATAGGGCTGGGCGTTCTACTGGGCGTGATACTTTCAAGAAAACATCCGAATCAGCCTCAGAGACCACCTGGTTCGGCACCTCAACCGACTCCTGGGCAAATTCCCGGGCCGAAAATGGAGGATGATCGATGGTTGAATCTAACTGGCTATCCCCCAATCCCAATTGGTACGTCTACCATTGCTGGGCCGAATGCTGCAGGTATCAATTCAGGTTGTATTGCTCCCACGAGCATGTGGAGCTGTTCTCTACCAAAGGAGATACAGGATGCGAATAGCCCATTTGATGCTGATCAGCCTCGGTTTAAGATTGAGATCAAGTTCAAGAACGGGACATACCAACATAGCACCACCATTGTAGATAAGGGAAAAAGAGAACTGTCGGCCTTCTCTAATATCTCACTGCTTAGAAACTGGGCGAGGAGGCAGCAGCCTATTGAACGTAGAGATGACTTCACTCCCTCTCCCGCACCACCCAATCTCGAGGAGCAGTCTTTCCTTGGAAATACCACCGATAAAATAGCCGCGCCTTTCGAGGGTGAGGAAACGCCCTTTTTCATAACAGTTCTGGACACTGCGCCGCCAAAGGGTGTCCCAGGTACCGGGCACAGCGCTCGTTTCCGCCGCGGCGACACAGATGGGTTCCCAGACCTTTCTAAACTTATCCCTCCTCCAGCTCTAGACACCGATGGTACAGCTGCCCCTGCATCTCTCTACCCGCTTCCTGTTTCCCAACCTCTGCGCTTGTATGATCGTGGCCTTCCCACTGAACACTACGGCTTTTACACATACTATGACCGATCCATCTTCCTCAAATCATCCCGTCCAATAGGAGACTCAAAGGAAACAGGAAATATCCCCAGCGATTTAAATGGTGGCTCTACGAAATCTGCGGCAAGTGTGCAATGTACATGGGCACAGACCAGGTTCCTCGTCCAGATGTGGACGCAGCCATCCAAAGCAGGCCTGCAGCTCATCTCACCATCTGCTGACTCAGGCCCTACGCCATCTTCTTATGCAGAGGATTTCAGGCGTCCTGGCTCGCTTCCCTATCCAGTCACGATAACCCTCGACCGACATGGTGGTGATCCTAAGAAGAAGATTGTCTACTGCTACGGCCTGGACGTAGGCGGGAAGCCAATCCTGACGAAAAAGAAACTGCAGCTTGAACATCGTGATTTCGGAGGTGTGCTGGTCAATCCTGCCCCGGGTATATTCAATATCTCGTCTACGCCGAATACTAGGAAACGAGCGGACCCTGCATTGGGGCCGGGAATCGATGGTGGGTCAGGTGGATGTCGTTGTGAATGGAGAAATTGGCTGAAAGCCTAGACTTGATTTTCATGAACTCTACGAACATAGATGAGATATTGGTACTTTGAGACTCCAGGACATGCTACTTCGGCTTCGTTATACCGTCTATTGAACGTGTTCAGCCCTTATATCCCCCATCTTCATCAAGATATTTTAGATTGATGGCAAGTGAGGGATCATCCAGGTTGCTGTGCGATTGGGGGGCATTGGACCTTCTATTAATTATTGTATTAGTATTCATTTCAAAATCCAATTATGTTAATACTATCAAATTCAAATTCGAATATATTAACTTACCGGTTTAATACCCATGGTGGGACCATAAGTATACAAAAGCGCACATTAGACATGCAAATATATATGGCTTGTTACGGCACTATATACGATCCTTTCGAATAGTATATGCGGTATCACCACTGCCAATTGAGCGCTATTACAAGGTCGATTTGTGGATCCTAGTTTATGTCTTAACTATCATGATTTGGCCGATTTAGGGATGGGGGAATAGTATTAATCACTTATGGTTTGCCCTGCTTGGTGGCATTCGCTGCCTTTCCTTACATGGTCAAGAGTGACCTTACCCATAATGGTGTGAACAACTTGAGTATACATAACTACTCCTAATGGACAGGACGGTTTCTGTGTAGAAGTTCCGTCCCTCAGCCAAAGTGCAGGATTAGGCGACAGATGGATGAGTTATCAAACTTGACAACAGTTTTCTATAGAAGTTGAACAATAGTTAGCCATTGAAAACAAGCTGGTGCCTTTATAATGGAAGGCTCAACCACACCTGATCTCAAACACGCTTTCCCTGCAATTATGTTTGGAGGCTGGGAAGTTCCAACGACGTCATCTACCTTTGCCGAAATAGCAATCTTTTACATTGCCAAAGAGTGTAAAGTATTGACGGGATGCATACTGGAAGTTGCTATATCTCTTAACGCCTTTAATATTTGCATCGTGGTGATGGCTTGTCTATTGTTGGAGGTTGATGTAGTGCTGCTAGCGAATCACAAGCTGAGCTTCTTCGACTTCTCAGCAAGTGAGTTTACATACCAGCATACTAGCATTCCTGTGTCCACTTTTCAGCACCATTTTGTTTTCAAAACAGCTTCTAGTGTATAGAATAGATCTAGCTGTATAAGACTTTTAAGCAGATCACAATACGAGCTTCTCAGAGTCGAATAATATTGGTAAACCCCAAGCCTTCTATTTCTCGGGTACAAATGTCGATAATGGTAGACTGTATTTATCCATAACTTTTTGGGAGTAAGGGTCGATTTCTTGGCTTTCCCGTTCTTCAGGATTGATGGAACTATTGTGCCAACCATGATGTCCTTGGCTTGAAAATCTATAAGCCTATATTAGCAGCAGTTAGACAAAGCGTATATTAGATAACTAAGGGACGGGGGGCTTCTACCGGTAATGGGTGACAGTAGAATAAAGGAAGGAGTGGAGTACCAAATAGTTATATTTCTGATTGCCGCTGCTTTCTGCCACTGCTGCCGTTTCATCCACAGTCTTAGTATCCTGAAATTCGGGTATAATGATAAGAATCAACCTGCTTATCTTGTAGGCGTCTTGTCTAACTCTCGCACTTATGGTTCCACTCAATAACCACTCTTTCAAGCTCTGGGTTCCCGAGTATGTGCCAAACACTATAGGATTTATTCTATCCTTTGAGCAGAAGAGTCGCATTTTCTAAGCCTGGTGGACAAGGGCGAAATATGATATACCCATCAGACGGACGCCCCACTAATCGGATAAATTATACGTAGTTTAGTATCCTAGTTAGGAATGTCTTTAGCTGGTAGTTTTCCAAAATAAGAAATCCGAAAGGAGCCTAATAAACTACATACCTCCTGGATTTGTTATTGATATTGGGCGCTAAGTGGGAAAATGGCGGAAAAATCGGAGCAGCACAATATTTTCTTAGGTGCTCGCAAAGGATTAGGTGTGATTAGTAGGCTCAAAGTATGGTTCGAATAAGGCAGAAAGGTGCCCAAGCTGGAAGACGCGGTGAGCTTTCTTATATGTAGGCAGTCGTGGATAATAGATGTAGAGAGTCCTGCTATCTGTCAACGGTGTTCAGTGAAAGCTATCTTAAACAGCTAGCCTCATCACGGAATCATCAAGTTAACCGCCTAGTTTGCTGCTCTCCTCACTCCTCACTTTTACAGCAGTGAGGACGACCCAGCCTTCAACAGCATGGAGTCCACCGACGATCAAACATTCTTTCTGCTCTCAAGACGTTATGGTCAGCTCCTCCTGGCGTTCTGATCCATTTGCTCAGAGAAGTACAGGATGCGATCGGTGGAGTGAAGTATCTACAAAATGTAGATTGAACAAATAGTGTATTAGCCATGATCTTTCGCCTCCTTTTCATGCTATTGAGTTAGGTTAGAGTTGAGGCTCGTCGGTAACTAAGTTAGTTTAGGGCAAAATTATAAACTAGGTTAATTAGATGACGTCATTCGTTCGAAGCTCTGATGCCTATATGAATACAGTTGCCCTCCTATTTTCTTCAAGTCACTATGTCTTCCCAAGACAAAGCAAGTGAAGCAGTATCACTGCAAGGTGGTGTTCATTCGAGGCTATTGATCGGGCTCCTTGCATTGAGTATACCAACATGAATAAACTAAAGGCAGGGATAGATTACAGAGGAGAGGAATGCTATAAAGATAGCTTTCAGAGCTCCTTTCTAGTAGTTCTATACGTACTATCAACTATCCTCGAGGGTTTTGACAAGATTTATCCCGACAGGGGCCCAAAAGTCACTGCAGACCTTCAAAAAGAGATATTACTTTTGGAAGTTATGGCTCAGAAACCTCACAAAACAGTGGCGAGAATGCTCGAGAGTATTATTGACTGGCGTATTATGGCAATGGGGCTCGAGAGGGAGATAATCAATGACGGCAGCGCGCGAGAAATAAGTCAAAATCGAAAATTTATCAAAGAACTGGGCGCTGCATTTACACCAGCCAGGGTAGTGGAAGAAATAGTCGCTACCCGAGAGAGTGGTGTCACCAAAGTCACCGGTGACCTTACAATAACTACCATTTGAGAAACTGGCCAAACGGACTGCAGGAACGTGTTACTATCATCACAAAGATCAAGTTTCAACCATTTGCGAACTTGCTTGGGCGGCTCAGGAGTTTATGATCGTTTGTTGCTCGACTGTACCTTCAAAAGCGTGGTGGAGTTGGTGCCACCTCGTCAACGCTAACTTCCCGAAGCCTCTCTCTTTCTGTATCCTCCGCACAGTCAGCAATCCTCTAAAGACTCTCATTTTAATGTATTTACTAACGTATTAGACTTAAAAGTATTAGCTGCTCTATCTGAGCATACTAACGGGGTTTTGTACCTTCAGAATAGCTTCATATTTAGTAGACATATTTAACATCCAGCGCAGTGACAGCACGGGGATTTATGTAATTGGAACCTTGGAATAGACGTGATGGGCGTATTGCCTGAGACAGTGGAGCAATAAAGAGATTTGTGCGGTCGGAATAGCTTCTTTATTACCAAATGGGTTATCGGCTGTTCGAGTATTTCACGTATTTTAATTATTCTGCCCCTACTGAGTAAGGTAATAAGGCTATTGATCACGCTCTAAGGCCAGAATAAAGGCAAATATCAGGCACCGAAGGCACTTTACATTGAAGCTAAGGGCGGCTCAATGATCCCTTTCGGCGGCGTACTCGTAGCTTGGCATTGGAGGATGGCATGCGCAATATCCCAATCCATCTGTCAGGGGGTCTCGAGTCCATAATCTCCAGGTCGTAGTTCACCAGAGCATACGCCAACATTAGTTTGAGTTCACTGGCCGCAAAGAATCGGCCGGGGCAGGCTTGACGACCGTTGCCAAAAGCAAGATAATCAGACCCAGTAGCGGCAAATGTCAAGCGTGCTCGATCTACGTGGTCCTTGTTGGGATCATCGCTGTTGATACCACGACGCAGTCCAACGAAGCGGAATGGCTTGAAGGTATCTGGCTGTTCATACACATCGGGGTCGTGGACAACGCCAAGGTTATGAACAGCGCAGAAGTTACCGCAGGGTAAATGGACACCAGATGTTGTAATGAATCCCTCTTTCGCTACGACTCTGCGACGAAGGCCGATGGCAACCAAGGTGTTGATACGGGCACTCTCGCGAAGAACCGAGTCGAGCTTCTCCATCTTATTCAATGCGAGCTTTGTCCATTGCCCTCCACATTCATCCAAAACTTGTTCGACCTCGGCTCGTAGCTCCTCAAGGACTTCAGGTGTAGATGACGCCAGATCCAGCATGACGTTCGTGATGGTCAAGGAGGATGTGTGGATGGAGACCAGGTTCATCAGAAGTATACGGCCAGCGAGGGTTCTGGGCCGGCACATGCGAGGGTCGCCGCTTTCTCTGGCCTGCTCTATACACCATTCTAGAAAATCGTTCTTCCTTTCCACTTCACCAGGGGATTTCCCGGCGGACAGCGAGGATGTAGGATTGTCAATATTACGCAGGCGATTTTCAATCTCTGGAATGAGCATTTGAGTAAATCGTCTTTCGTAATATCGACAAGGAAGCGTGAACAACAATGATGCTAAAGGACGTAGCGGCTTCCATGTAAAGCTCAACAGCAGCTGGCTGAATGGTAGCGCTCGCGCAAAGCCGAGACCGGCACTGAGAAGTGCCGGGTCACGACAGTATGGAAGACCAACAAAGGCATAATTTGTTGCTCTGCACACAATAGCACCCATACTATCCCAGATTCCAACGTTGCGAAATGACTCTGTGTCGGTCCCCCATTGCTCCTCAAAGGCTCGAACGGTCTCATTAGACAAGCCAGGGAGGAGATTACCGACCTGGTTGGTTAACGTCGTCGTAATGAGCTTTGTGTGTGTTGGGTGTGAGACGAGCATATTATCGGATATAGTGTACTCGTAGAGAAGCCCTTGTACAATAACCTCGCGCAAGCTGAGCACATCCTTGGGCTGATCTGTGACTAACTTGGTTTCAGACGCTGGAAGCAACACAAATATCTGACCACCGGGTCCTGCAATAGGCAGAATTGCAGCTTGGTCCTTGTATTTTGCATAGGCTTCTAACATATTCCCCCGGAGATTGCGAGCGTTACGCCATGCCGATTGAAAAAAAGGGAACCAGTCGCCTTCTTTGGCGCCAATTATTGGTAGACCCTTGGGGAGATGTGCGACTGAGGGAAATAGGAGTTTTCGGATAATGTAAACGAAAGTCAACCCCACGACGATCTTCGTGATCGTTAGCACCATGTTTGTGTCTGCACTGCCGATGCAGTTTGGAGACTTGCGACCGGGAGTGTAACCAGGGAGTAAGGGGATAGAGATTGGCTGTCATCCAGAAGTAATCTAAGGTCACATCCATGGATAGCATCACAACCACAAAGCCGCGACGGGAGTGTTAATTAACACCGAATCATGTCGGACGCTTCTAAATATGGAAAGATCCGACAGCGGCGCCTAGGTTGTAAGCAAAGGAAAATATTAGAGATAATTGGTACGGACGTCCATGCTACCGGAGGCAGAAAAAGTTCTATGCCAGTAACAGGAAGGCTGCCGAAAATGAGAATCCTTGCTCTCCACGGCCTTGGCTCGTCATCCTCGCTGCTGAAGGAGCAGCTAGCACCCTTCAGCAAGGCATTGGGCAAAGAGTACCAGTTCATATTTCTAGATGGAGGAATACCCTGCGGGAGAGGCCCAGGTACGAGTATCTATCTTCCCATCTCTAACCAGTGCTGAAGCATCATAGGTGTCCCAGCTTGGGCCTCCGGGCCCTTCTATTCATACGCAACGGGCTTCACTCCAGTTGAGATGCGTCGAGCTCTCAGCTACTTGGATAATTTTATCAAAGAACACGGTCCTTTCGACGGCGTGTTTGGATTCAGTCTGGGTGCCGCCCTTGCGATAACATATATGTTGGACCAGCAAAAAAAGCAGGCTTCTTTGCCATTCTGCTTTGCTGTCATGTTCTCACCCATATTTGTTGTTTCGCCTGATGATAGCTTTTGCGAGCAGCTTCTGCGTCGATGGCTGGCAGACGACCATACAGTGTTTCGGTCCAAGTTCCCCAATGGCGACTTTATGACAGAGCTGGAAGATCCGTCTGAGCAAACGCTTGCCCAGTATCTGCAGCAAGTCTTATTCATGCAGTCAATGGGGGTTGGGCTGATTTTGCCGAACACGAATGTCGATTTCCTAGGTACCAAAAAGACGGAGGAAGTCCCGCGCTTGATACATCCGGATTTGTTTAACGCCCGGATCAAAATACCAACGGTCCATGTCACCGGGCAGAACGACTCACCCTATATTGGAAAACAGTCGGCAGTTGCACGAGACCTGTGCACAGCTTCGATTCGGCGGGTACATAGTCATGATGGTGGACATGACGTACCTTTTAAGATATCCGACGTGGATGCCATTGTTCCTTCGATCAAGGCGATGGCCGAGGAAGGCATTCAGATACGGGATTTGTACGATGATTGATCCCGTGTCCGGCAACAGTGACAGGGCGGAAATTCTATGTCACGGAAATGGCAGATTGCAAGTAGGACGATGGTCCTTTCTATTGTCTGAAAAATGTTTTCAAGTTTGCAAGCTCAAGAATGAATTATGATATATACCGCGCTCCCTCTCCCTCGTTGATGCTACCTAATTTTAAGCCATGCGTAAACTATACTTCGTAAACTCTGCGTCCTTGTCGAGGAAATTCACCTCATTATCGGATAAAGTCATGACGAACTCGATTCCGCCATAAGTCTTTCGAGGTATGACGAAACAGGTACGGAAACCACTATTGCAATCCCCCATAAGTGGCCGAAAAGCTTCCGGTCGACCACCAGCACCAAATGTCTGGGCTCCAAAGCAGGTCTCATTGAACGGAAGCGTTGTTGGAGCTAGGATGCCCACCGAAGGCGATTTCATGCGAGCTGCTCGCAGTTGCGGCAGTCTTGTATAATCCGAGACCGAATCAAGTAACCTGTACGCATCCAGCAGGCTGTCGGAATCCGTAAAATTTGCCGCATGTGTCCGTATCGTTTTCGCGAGCTCGGAGATGCTTGTACCCTTAGCCACAATATGGCTGGAGGAGAGCGCAAGTCTGTTTTCAAAGTTTACATTACCAAGATAGCTGATTGGCAGTAGATCCTGGAGCTGCGGCCGCGCATCGAAGGGGATGCTGACCTCTGACATTGCTGCGTGAAGCTCGTTGGCGTTGTGCTGCGCGTCCTGAGTTGCCATCCAAGCTTTGACAACACTTCTCCAGATCAACGCACAGATGAGATCGTTCCCAGAAACTTCCGTAGGACCAAGTTCAGCAATGCAGTCTTTGCGCAGGGCTGTATAAGCTCCTTGCGACATATAGAACAACCTGGGCTTCATCGCTTTGAGCACACCAGGAAAGGCATCAGGGGTGGTGGAAGTCATATCGACAAACGCGTGTTCGGAGTCGAGGCCCACGAGACGACAAATATCTGCTGCTAAATGACTTGAAACTGTGCCTCGCCTGTCCTCTTTGCATGCATTCCTCAATGCTATCCGTTCGAACCCCGAGCCCAAACCACCGTAGGTTTGAACACTAATCCCCGTCTCTGCATTTGCCATCAAAGAGTTGCAATGGTGAGCCCAAACTTGTGTCACAGAGAGCATAGCGGTGCCGTCCGAGGCCGGGCTCGCGACTGAGAGAGCCAGAGCACAGCCTCCAGGCAAGAAGTTGGCCTGGGCCATCAAGACATCAGCCCCTTTCTCGAAATCGGGCTGGAATGGCGTCGTCCATAACAAGTCATTTTCTTCAAACATGTCCAGCGGAAAACCCAGATCTCTGAGATCAGAGAGTTCCAAATCGGTTTCTAGCTCATTGAATTGCAGTTGGTGCGGTGGTTCTTTGAACGAAGGGGGCTCGAAACGGATCTCTAATTGGCCAGGACGCCACCCACTGGTATCCTCACTCTGCCAGTGTACGCGACCATTGAGCCAAGGTATTTGAGCAAAGGTTCGACGCAGACCTTCTTGTAGACGTCCAAAGGCATCCTGTACTGTGACACCCTGCTTCAAACTCAGGTAGATCACGCTCTGTGGAATATGCCAAGCAGCTATGTGGTCGAGGGGGTCAAGCGTAATCTTCTGAGTCGGAGCCATGGCGATCACTGCACAATTTTGAGGATATTTGAAACACCTTGTTCAAGATCCTTTTTCTCACTCAAATCGGTAGGCTTAAATCCGAAGCACAGTCAGTGGCTGAGAACCATATGAGTAGGCAGTTTTCAAGTCAGTGGAGGCCGGATGTTACTGTATTCGGACATTCCGGATTCTGAGTAAAAATGCATAAGTATTGTCACTAGTGGCTTGTACCAAAATGTCGCTGCTGCAAGCATGGGGCCTGGAAACTGGGCTAGTGGGTGTAGTGTCCCGCGATAAATACCGAGAAGGGCTCCATAGACGAGGTATAAAGATATTTCATAGACCAGGATATCTTTGAATGTGCAGTGGTGGATTAGAAAGCCTGAGGAGTCATTTGAAGGTATCATTATGACAGGTTGATTGTTCTTCGTACTCCATAGTGGATCATTCAAGGAGTCGCTGTTGTTCCATTTCACAGCCGCAAGGGTGGTATACGCCGGATATAACCTAGAATGGAAAGTCCCGCCAGCCATCGTGGGGCGCAAAAGGAAAGGCTGCAGGGACTTGGCTACAAGACGTTTTGGAACCGTAATACCGACCACATAGTAGTAACAGACAAAGGATAATAAGTGTCTTGATAGCTAGGGGTACAGAAGAGAAACGATTAAATAATGTAAATTCACAAGATGATCATGGACTATGGTCATCAGGCACCGAAAAAAGAAGAGGGGAAAAAAAGGTAGTAACTATCCGACGAGACATTCCTTCAGGACTGTCACAACGGTTCGGGGTTCTCAAAATGAAAAGATTTACATTTCGCCCAAATTCTGCAAGCCGACAAGCTCAAAGTACGCCGACCGCTTCTGCATCAGCTCAGAATGAGTTCCGGCCTCGATGATGCGACCTTGGTTGAAGACATAGATCATGTCTGCCGTTTGCACCGTACTGAGACGATGCGCCACGGCGATCGTCGTGCGGCCTTTAGCTGCAGTATCCAGAGCAGCTTGCACGAGCTTTTCAGACTCGGAATCGAGAGCAGAGGTGGCCTCATCCAGCAAAAGTATTTTTGGGTTGCGGAGTAAGGCTCTAGCAATTGCAAGACGCTGCTTCTGGCCACCTGACAGCATACTGCCCTTACTACCAACGAGAGTATCGAAACCGCTTGGCAGACCAATAATAAAATCGTAGATATTTGCGTTCTTGCAGCATGTCACTATTTCGTCTTCCGAAACGTCATCTCGGTCCGTACCCAGCATGATATTCTCGCGGATGGTACCTTGGTACAGCGTTGGCTCTTGGCTAACAAGTGCGAGATGGGAGCGGTAATTTTTAATGTTGAATGATGAGATTTCCTTGCCATCGACGTAGACACCACCGAGAGCCGGGTCGTAGAATCTCTCCAAGAGCGCAATTGCAGTGGACTTGCCACATCCACTAGCTCCAACAAACGCAACGTACTGCCCAGGCTTGACCTGGAGATTGAGGCCTCGTAGAACAGGCTGGTTTGGTCGCGACGGGTACCTGAAGTGTACATCCCTGAACTCGATATGGCCTTCTATACTCTGAACCTTTTCGCCGTCATGGCTCCAGCTATCAATTTCCGGTGTCCGTTCGAAGAGGGCCTTGACGCTAGCAGCAGCGTGACGAGCTTTGGCAAGATCTGGTGCGAAGCTGAAGATAGTCCCTGCAGACTGCGCGCCGAAGATGACGGTGCTGAAACACAAGAAGAACTGGAACCTGAATTGAAGGGTTAGGACGAATATCATCTCTGTTCGGGGTATTGTGGTCTACTCACATGGTATATTCGTGTCTACCGAACAGGGTGCCTCCATACCAAAAGCCGAGAGCCATGCAGAGGAACTGAAGTGATTGAGATGCCGCGTAGAGAGTGGACGACTTGAGGACCGACCACACTAGGCTGCGGCCTTGCGAGAGAAGCTGTGCGTGGTAGTGACTGCAGATGTCACCCTCGCGGGTCAAGGAAGCCACGGTTCGGATAGCTGAAGTGGCCTCGCAGGCATAGCTTGCAGAATCTTCGTAGGCTTTCTTCTTCTCTCTCTCGAGTCGGACCAGCATCGCCAAACGGAAGTACCCACAAGCGAGAAGAAGGGGGATGGTGGAAATGCAAACCAGGCTAAGCTTCCACCCTACAGCCAGCCCAATGGCGGAAGCGGCAACTAAGGTAGTGATCAGTAAGAGAATGGTCATCAGAGTAATCCCAGACAGCCCGGCCAATTGGGAGGTCTCGGTGGACAGGAAGGAAGTGAGAGCACCCGCAGAACGTTTGTCGAAGTAGGCAATGTCTTGTCGGAGGATATATCGGAATGCTCGGTCGCGAACTCGATGGGTAAGTCGCTCTGCGCAGTAAGAGAACGCAATACCCTGAGAGATGAGAGCGAACAGTTGCACAAAGGCGAGCATCAAATACATCAGCGACCAGAAGTTAACTTGTCGCCGTATTTCAGAGCTCTCTGAAAGAGGGAGTGAAAGGGCTGTAATGCACTTGGAGAAGAAGACAGCTTGTGTTGGATTACCTCCACCGCAAACGATGGCGAGTAAAATTCCAAAGATCATATATTTCCATTCTTGTTTGTTCAAACCCGCGACGAAACGTATCAGCTCGAACAAGGTATGATTATCGGCAATGTCCTCTTGTCTCTTCTTCGCAAGTGCCGTTGGTGATTTGCCTGGCTGTGTCTTGTCCGCCTTAAGGTCCTGGGGTTCTTCTCCATCATCCAATTTGCCTAAGCTGTCGCGCTTCTCATCATATTCAGCTGACGGTAAATCATAATCGGTTTCGGGCAGAATGTGATCATTATCTTGGTTTCTAGACTCTTGCTTCGTCGCGATTCGCTGAGCCTCGACCAAATTGTAGTAAGCCGCTTTCTTCTGGAGGAGTTCATCGTGGGTACCCTGCTCGACAACACGTCCATGGGACATAACAACAATATTGTCAGCATTCTTGATAGTGGACAGTCGGTGAGCAATGATCACGGTGGTTCGTCCCTGGGCAGCTTTGTCGAGTGCGGCTTGTACAACTCCCTCGCTCTTTGTGTCGAGTGCGGATGTCGCCTCGTCAAGTAGCAGGATCTTAGGATCGCTAACGATGGCCCTGGCAATGGCAATGCGTTGTTTCTGACCTCCTGAGAGAAGTAGCCCTCGTTCGCCAATGTCGGTTTCGTAGCCTTCGGGAAGGGAGGTGATGAAGTCGTGGGCCTGAAAAGTAACAGAGTCAGAACTTCAAATTGTATATGGCACGGGTAAAGATGGTGTGTTTAAATCATAGTATCTAGTTTACTCACATTTGCCATTCGAGCGGCGCGTTCGACCAGCTCAGTGATTGCTTTTTCGGACGCATGCTCGTGCGGTGCTCCAATCAATCCGTGCTTAATATTTCCAAATATCGTAGTGGCGAATAATGTAGGCTCCTGGCTAACCAACGAGATTTGTTGTCGCAACCAGCGTAGATTCAGGTCTTTGATATCACGGCCGTCGATGTGTAGGGATCCGCCAATAGGGTCGTAGAAACGCTCGATCAGTCCGATGATAGTGCTCTTTCCAGAGCCTGAAGCCCCAACAAGCGCAGTAGACTTGCCTGCTGGGAATAGCAAGCTCACATCATCCATCACAACAACATCGGGGCGGGAAGGGTATATATGTCTGATGTTCTTGAGCTCCACATCTCCCCGAAGCTCCTCGAGCTTCTGCCCCTCGGTCGATAGAGGGTCGAGAGGAGAGACTCGATCAATGGTTGCATAGATCTTATTGGCTGCGGCGACCGCTGTGATGATGGCTTGGACATTCGGTGTAATATTGCCCAGGGCAAAGGCACCCATCATGATGGCCATTTGAATGGTGAGGATCTGCGCTAGCCCAACGGACCCATCCACCAGGAAGCGGGAGCCCATCCAGAAAGACAGCCCATAATTGAGGTAGATGTACCTAAGAGACAATGTCAGAACGCTGGACTGAGACCGCCATTTTGGAAGGTGAGATGTTGTGCCACTCGCTGTACTTACAGAAAGAGAAAGCCAATCATTGAGCTGGTGGTGGCCTTGAGCTTGAATCCGGACTTCTCTGCTTCAACGAGATACCCATCGTATCGTCGAGCCAACTTCTCTTGGGTATTGAACGCAACCGGGTTTCGGATCGAGCTGATAACCTCTTCTGCAACCGTTCCGCCTTCAGCAAAATGACCGAGGTATATCTTGCTGAGCTTAGCGACGAACGTGCCCACGAAGCCCAATGTGACAACGATAGCGACGACGGTGGAGAACAGAATCAGCGTCAGCTTCCAGTACCTGACGAAACCGATCACAAGAGCGGCCACAAAGGTGGCGATGGCTGTCAGGGTCAACCCGACTTTCTCTGAGATGCCTTCCTGGACAAGATTGGTGTCTGCTGTAATGCGTGTGGTGATCTCACCCGCGCCGAGCTCGTCGAAAAAGGCAATGTTCTGTCGTAGAATGGCGGCAAGGAACCGCTCTCTGATCTTCGCTGTGATGTGTTCACCGGCGTACACGAAACCGATCGTGGCCATGTAAACCATGGCAAACTCGCCTATAGCGAGGTAGACAAAGTACAGAGTGAAACTAGCAAGCTCGCTGTTGAACTTGCTGTGCGAGATGTCGCCCAGTAGGAAGCTGCGGAAGGTGCCTGCAAGACCACCGAACAGAACGGTCATCATGGGCATAAGTGCACCGCCGATGATTGCGGCCACCGAGGCCAGGACGAGGACGATCTTGTCATTCCGCGTCGCATAACGATATAAAGCCATGTAACTGACATTGGTGGCGGGCAGATCCAGCTGCCTCTTGAGGATGAGCCTCTCGTGCTCTGGCAGATGCTTGAACGGACCATCATCTTCCAGCGTTTCGTTTGCCCCAGCCGGCGCTGAACCGACTCGGTTCGTGGGGGAGCTGGCGGGTGTGGCGTCTTGGCCTCCAAGGTCGCGGCTCGGCATGGTGAAGCGGTCCAGCGATTATCGAAGAGGGCAGTGACACTGGCAGTGGCAGGACAGAGTAGTTTTTCTGATGGGGGTGAAGTGAAGATGAAGCGAAAGGATCGTTGGAGTGTGCGACTGGCTTTTGTTTACGCCTCAGGGTGCCCCTGAGTGCCCCTTGACTGCCCAAGTCGACGCGTTGTTTTTTTCTCTGTTTGGGGGGAACAAGGATGTGATGCACATTCGCGTCTGTAAGGTTGCTGTATTACAAGGATGTCTGTATCCTATGCGGGCCACGACCAACCACGGCCCGGTCTCCTGGATGCCCTTGGAGACGGCTCGGAACTTGCCGAATTGGGCGATCACCCCCATGTACTGATTCTAGGCCATGTACATAGTACATAGTATGTGTTCCCAGGTAGATAACAGCGTAGATAACCGCTAGTGTCGTTGGTACCTGTCTATATTCTGAATGATCTCGCACTTATTCGGCGGCTGTTGCGGAGTACATTGCTCCCCGACTGAATTTTGATATCGCCAAACTCGTATATTGATGCGGGTAGTCATTGTTGGCGGGGGCCTGGCGGGCCTGACGCTTGCAAGCGCATTGGAAAAAGCGAATGTTGATTTTGTGTTGCTAGAGGCCCGAGGTCGATTTGACCCCCAGGTCGGAGCATCGATTGGACTGAATGCTGCCGCAATGCGCATCCTGGATCAGCTAGGGGCAGCCAAATCGATCATGGATGAAACAGCACCAATCAAAGTGTCCAAAGTTCATCGCAGCGACGGTAAACTTGTCATGCCACCGGCGCTCACTTTCCCGATCTTGAAAACCAGGTATGAGATAGTTGGATGTCCAGTTATTTTTGAAGCAGTTCCATTGAATGAAGTTCTAGGTTTGGCTATGGAGCATGCTTTTTGGACCGTCAGCGCGCTCTCAGGGCCTTGATGGACTCAATTAGATCGAAAGACAACATGCTGCCCAACAAGACAGTGTCGCGGATCGACCAAACGGATTCTGGCGTCAGCGTGCATTGTCAAGACGGCTCTTCCTACCATGGGGACGTGGTCGTTGGCTGTGACGGTGTCAATAGCAAAGCATCGACCCGGAGCGAGATGTGTCGCCTTGCTAGTGAGGAGGATCCAGGCCACTTCCTAACGCTGAAGCAGACGAGTAAGTGGGTAGAGCAGTGACTCAAGAACCGCGGTTGATTATTTCTCTAGGAATGAGTGCTGAATTCAATTGTCTTTTCGGTATATCTGACCCCGTAGATGGTCTCATCGAGGGAACGGTCGACACCGTTTTTGACAACGGCAGGTCCATGCTTGTGATCACTGGGAAACATGGACGGGTGTTCTGGTTCTACCATGAGAAGTTGGACAAGGTCTATTATACCGATGCCGAAGACTACCCACGATACTCCCAAGCAGATGCGGAAAAGCTCGCGCAAAAAAACGCCTGGCGACCTGTCACTGAGACTGTGACCCTGGGAGACATATGGGAACAGCGTGTGACCTACACGCTGGTGCCGTTGGAAGAGGCCCTTTTTGACATGTGGAGCTGGGGACGTATAGCGACTGTTGGGGATAACTCCCATAAGATGACCCCTAATACCGGCCAAGCCGGGAACAATGCGATTGAGTCTGCTGCTGCGCTGGCAAACCAACTCCAAAGACTCCATGATGAGCCGCCGGTCACCTTGCAGAAAATCAAGTCAGCGCTGCGCAAGTGGCAGGAGAAGCGCCAGGCTCGAGTCAGCGCGACGGTGAAAGAAGCGGCGATGGTTTGCCGATTGCAGGCGCTGGATAGTCGCATGGCCTCCTTCGTCATGAACTATGTGGTGCCAAATGCCAGCGAGTCGTTCCTGAGCCTGGTCACCGGTACGCTCATCGGCGCTGAGATCATCGAGTATCTACCAGTACCAGCCCAGTCTTTCGAAGGCTCTTGTCCCTTCAACCCAACCCAAGGTGTCGGCAAACACGAACCGTTGCTGAAACGTATGGCCCTTGCGTTGCCATTGCTCTTTCTTTCTTTTTGGGTGGCGACGATGACGCCCGTTGACAGTGTGGATGCTTCTATACGCCGATTCCCGCAGCCAAGTCAACTTGCGGAGCCCGGTGAACGGGCGCAAGTGCTTCAAAGCCTACGCCCTCTTGCTGAGGATTGTGTCATCTATGCCATATGGCTCATTGAGTCGAACCGTCGTGCCAATGCGATGACGTTCGCCCGGTTTCCAACCATCTTCTGGCTCCTCGGTTTCAGATTTGGACCGGGGGTTGTTGCTCCTTGTTACTGTTTCCTGCATTTTTTGTTCTCGGGCATCGAGAGATTCGCGTCAACTGATGGAAGACTCACCAATGTGGCTTACACCAAGTTGATATTGCCCTCAGTAGTGCTCTTCATGGGCGCACCGGTTCTCCTCACCCTGAGAGGCTACATCACAAAGGTCGATACGGCGTTGTGGCACTGGCGTTGGATGTTGATTGCGATCACGCATTGGATGATAGTCAAGACTGGGATGAGCAAGGTCAGCATGGACGAGGACACGATGGGTAACCCGCTGCGGGATCTCCCTTACATCCGATGGTGTTTATGCGTTCTCAGTGCCGTATCTGCAGCGATGTTCATAGCTACGCGGCAAAGTCAGCTCTCGAATCCTTTATCGTCCGCTCTATTGCCCGGCGTAGGTGGGAATTTGTCCGACTTGAACCGGCATGGGGCACTCCTCGCGAGTCTCTTCTGGGTCGGTCTCTTGATCCATGACATCAAGAGCGCCGGAATGACCAAACAAAGTTGGGCGAAGATACTCACAATAGGCTTTGTTTCTGGCGCACTTGCAGGCCCTGCGGCTACTGTGGCGCTGGGGTGGATTTGGCGAGAGGAGATATTGGCATCTAGGAGGGAAAGACACGCGATCACCAGGGACAAGTACTCAGGAAAATCGATCCTTGACGTCCAGAAGGAGATGATCTCGCCCAGGGGTGAGGCGGCGAGGTGAGCAAGTGGCAGGCTCCCTCAGATTTTCTTTGGCCCCGGGCAGGATATGCTAGTTACTACTAGCATATTCAGTATAGTTTATATCTTGACTAGTTCTGACCGGCACAACAAAGCCGCATGTTGTAAGGTACTTGTGCTTGAGGCATCATTGACCGCTGTCGGATTCGAGCTGGGATTCAACCATCGATTAAATAACGATAAAATACAAGATGTTGCCATCCCCATTTGACTGGACGAACTTGATGAATTTCTCTGGCTAGCACCTTTCCTCCGCCGGTCCATCCCTGGAAGAGCAGACCGTGGAATACGAATGAAAAACGCATGTTCCATAGATGCTTTCGAGCGTAGGCCATCTGTTGTTACTATGCTTGATGGATCTACGTCTGATCTCTCGATCAGTTATTCTGTGTGGAGTATTGACGAACATTGGGATGTGTCCTCGTCGGTTTGATTAATCGCCCAGGCCATGTCCTATAGCTCATGAAAAGCTCATAAGATCAGCCTCTCTTCGTATAGCCTTCCCTCGGTTTTTCCATTGAAATCAGCGTAGCCCTGTATCACGCGGAAATATTTGATATTCGCAATGACCGCTTTGCAAACACTGGCCAGCCGACCTACCTAGCGAAACAGTGAGTACCCGATGGCAAGTTCACCTAAGCGGACGGCTCGAAGAGCAAGCAACTAAAGAGCCAGCACCCGGTCGCGGGGAATACAATATTGTATAAAAATCAAGTGCTACCAAGATTCATGGATCCAAATGCCACGCTTTCGTGTGGGTAATATTATCCAAGTAGAAGCACCGCCTGTATTACGATAAACGATGACTTGGTAGTTATTGCTGTCTTTGAAGCCATTTCGTATTGGTAGTAGCCACGATGTAACAGCGTCTGATCTCATGTAGTTAAATCTAAAATTTGCCTTGGCACTTCATGAGTCCAACGCAAAACGCCAAAGCAACGAAGGTGTTTGTGGGTGTTCTACAGAGATTGTCTCTTTGAGTGTCAAAATTGAGCCACCCCCTGAGAGAGACAGTCCGAATTTAAAGAGGGCTGAGCCTGACATAGCACTGCCGTGGCATTCGGAAAAGTCGCTGTTGAGACTCCATGCTGTCCAAGCCCTTCGGAAGAGGCTCGAACTTGAAGTTCAAGACCAGAAGCACGAGGTTCAGGCGGAATTCCATCAAAGCGAGATTTCTGCCTAGATTCACGCAGCGGTGTCAGCCAAGGTACTTGTCCTACTTATGGAGCTTGCGAGCGAAAAGTCAACTGTGAGGGCGATAGTAGAGTTCACATACCATAGCACATCCGCGGCCCAGCAGAGAAACCCAGACGTGGAAATTTACGAAGGTTGAAGGAACCGTCTTCTGAAAGCCACCGCTCTGGATGAAATTCATCCATGCCGTTGATATCCCAGTAGGATTCGAAGTTATCCTTGGAACCTCGACAAGTCTCGGACCTCATATGCTCGGGGATATCGAGGGGTTTTGTGCCGACATAAGGGTTGAGAAGTACAGTAACACCCTTGGGGATTGGGTATCCGAGTACCTGAGTATCAGTGGTCGTTCTCCGAACCAGTCGGGGAGACGTGTTCGCCGCGCGCATGGATTCCTCCATGTATGCTTCTAGATACGGGATCGACGTGCTCATGATAGCTTTCGAAGAAGGCTGCTCCCCATTCGAGCCTTTGGGCAAAGCATCCACCAGGGCTTTTCGTAGTTTCTCCTGCTTCCCGGGATTGGCGATCAGAAACTTTACAGCCCAGGAGAGGAGCACAGCCTTTGTCTCGTGTCCCTGTGATTTTCTAGGCATCAGTCATCTGCCTAACATTTGGGTGTTTGAGAATTGAGCCCTGTACTTACAGCAACGAGGATCATGAACAGCTCATCATGAATCTCAGCTTGAATTAATGCCGGAAATGGGACGTTGATGGGTTGCCCCTGACGCATCTGGGCCAACAGTTGACGCCGTACACCAGTGACCACAGCAGAAGTCTCTTCAACCTCCATCAGTTGATCCGCGGAGAGGCCTGCTAGCTTTGCACGGGTGGCCTCGATAAGCCCGTCAATGGTACTTTCTTTGAAAGCTAATTTCCGCTTGTAGACGGGTTGCTGTCTGAGGTACCAAAGGGACCACTTCTGAGAGACGACTGACTGCAGCGACTTTGCCACTGTACTTATGAAAAACGACACAGCTTCACACATATCAGGCTTCTGGATGACGGGGATCTGAGCCGCCGAGTCGATTGATGGGGGCTGAACCGTGTCTGAGGTTACGCTGAGAACCTTGCTCAGTGCACCTTTGATGCCGTCAACTTTGGTTCCGAATACCAGTTCCCATATTAGCTCGAATGCTGCCACATCGAAGCCGTCGAAGCAGTAAAATGGTCGACCACCGGCCATTTTGGCCTGAGCTCTAAGTAAGTCGATTAGCCCCAGGGCGCACCGGTACATCTTGGGCTCAGCGACGCGTCGTAGGAAAGGCGTGCCGGTAACGCCTTCCCAAAAGCGTCTCTGGTTTTTGAATGCAGGTCCTGTCAATTTGACCAGGCTGCAATGTGGAAGAAGAGAGCGATAGGCATCTTGTGTTCTGCGAGCCCGATCGAATTCAAGCGTGCGGTTGCTGAGAATATCTTTGACTTCGCGGACGTCGTCAATAACGATTGTAGGATTTGAAAAGGGGGCGAGAAACATCTGAATCACGGGCGAACCCAGATTTCTGCTCTGATGGAAGATGTATTTCGCTGGGTCCTGGGTTATCTTGATATCTTCGAGCAGGCCCGTCGAGTCTCCCCAGATCTTTCTTGCCGAAGCAACATTGTATGGAATGCCTGGATATGGGCGTGGGTATGCTCGCTTGAAACCAAAGTAGAGGATGAATGCGAGAAGGCCAATTCCAATCGACAGTTGATAGTTCAATGATAGTATATCCATTTTATCTCTAGTAGATCCAGCACAGTGTGGGAACCTTGGAGGCGAGAAAATGTAATACATGCCAGGGCTCGCAGACTTTGAATATGTGGACTTACAACATTGAGTTTTACAACCCGCTGATATTCTTTAATCGTAGTAGGCTTATTACTGCTCAACGCTTGAAACACGTTGTTGGATGGGCTGTGGCACGTTGAATCTCGGATGTTTCCTCTTTGGGAAATCGGAAGCTATGAAAGAGTCCGTGGAACACACCATCCGCATTGAGGCCTCGGCAGGCCAACGCCAAGTGCTAACGGCGGAATCTCCACCATCCGTGGATGAACAGTAGTGAATAGCACGAGCGACGACGTCGGGAGGATGGGAAGGATTGGACAAACCTGGGAACGAATCGGGATGCGATGATGGTGCTAACAATCGCCCCAAAATCATAATGGAATTATCACCAGTGTGCCTAGGTATATATTGACTAGTCTTCGACGTATGTATAATGTGATATTGACTGCCCAGGTGTATAATCGAGCCATACCAAACCTTGGAACCCGGAACTGCCTAGATTCCAAAGTGAACGAGCAGTGAGCTAAACATTATTTTATACTTTTGAACATGTCCCCAATTTCCATATCCGACATGTTTCAACCAGGCATTGGAGACTCTATCAGAACCAACGGAGGTTCTCCCAAAACCAACGGGGCCACCATGAATGGCAGCACAATGTCACAGCAACAGGAATCCTCCAACGCCAATTCCACGGGCCCGCCAATCCCCATTGCCATCGTTGGCATGGCTTGCCGCTTCAGTGGAAACGTCAGGAATCCTCATCAGCTGTGGGAACTTTGTGCGAATGGAAAGGGTGGCTGGTCTCCGATCCCTGATTCACGCTTTGATGTGAAGTCTTTGTATCATCCTGATAATGCCAAGGCCGGCCGAGTAAGTTTCCTCTCCCATGGCAGACCCGCAAAGCAGGGAGTGTCACTTTGCTCTTAGCTGGGCCAATGAGAATGTGGGCTGACATATTTGCAGAGCCACGTTATTGGCGGCTACTTTCTGGACGATGATATCGCTTGTTTTGATGCCGCCTTCTTCAACTTGGCATCAGATGTTGCCCATGTAAGTAGGGCCCGATTTATGCCCCGCACGTCGAAGAAGCTGACTTCGAGAAACAGGGTCTTGACCCTCAAGTGAGATTGTTGCTCGAGACTGTCTACGAAGCAACAGAAGATGGTAAGCCTCAGTCCCTTGTGCTTCTGTCAAAATGTGTCGTAGAGGCTGACCCGCTCAGCTGGTATCCCTCTGGATAAGCTCGCTGGCACCAATACATCGGTCTATACCGGAACATTCAACAAAGATTACCATGAAATCCAGACCAAGGATGCCGAATGTTTGACCCGCTCCTTCCTGGCCGGTACAGGTACCGCAATGCTGTCCAACCGTGTCTCGCACTTCTTTGATTTGCAAGGACCAAGTCTGTCCATCGACACAGGTTGTTCGGCGGGTATGGTGGCAGTTCACCAAGCATGCCAAAGCATTCGCACTGGGGAGAGTGACATCTCAATCGTCGGTGCTTCTAGTACACTTCTTAGTCAAGACGCTTTCATTTCGGCATCCACTATTGGGTAAGTACGAGCTTGCAGGGTTGCATACATTTATTCCACCAGAACATAACTGATTGAATATCTTGATAGTGCGATTGGATCTGAAGGCAAATGCTTCGCCTGGGACAATCGTGCTGCCGGCTATGGCCGTGGTGAGGGTGTAGCGGCAGTTATCCTCAAACCTCTGGATGCCGCGCTGCGCGCTGGTGACCAAATCCATGCTGTCATCAAGGACAGCGGAGTCAACCAAGACGGGAAGACGACCACAATTACCTCTCCATCTGCCGATGCCCAGGTCAAACTGATCGAGCAATGCTACCGTCGTGCAGGGCTTGACATCTCTCAGACTGGCTACGTGGAGGCTCACATGACCGGCACAGCGGCTGGAGATCCTGTTGAGGCCGAAGCAATTGGCAGAACCTTTGGAAAATCTCGCCAAGGGGATGACAAGGTATTGGTTGGCTCTGTGAAGACAAATGTTGGCCACACCGAACCCGTCAGTGGTCTTGCAGCCCTCATTAAGACTACATTTGCGTTAAAAACAGCTTCCATCCCGCCGAACCTCAATTATGAGACTCCAAACCCAAGTATTGACCTTGATGCGGGCCATTTGGAGGTGCCGACAGAGTTGAAGCCATGGCCGAAAGACAAGATCCTTCGCGCTTCAATCAACAACTTTGGTTATGGTGGAACCAACGCCCACGTTATTTTAGAGCCTGCGCCAACTCCAACAGAGACTTCTCACCTCAATGGGCACTCGACACCTCAAGGAAATGAATCACGCGTTTTCATGGTCAGCGCGAAGGACTCTGCTGCCTGTCGGACAGTGATGGACCGTCTTGCTTCTCATATCATTGAGACGTCACCATCGACAGAAAACCTTGCCTATACACTCAATGAGCGTCGATCACTACACCCTTGGGTTGCTGCTGTCCGGGCCACCTCAATTGAAAACCTGGCCGAACGTCTCCGAGAGTCAGACCGCAAGCCCGCATTTGCGTATAAAAAGCCACGTCTAGGGTTTGTGTTCAATGGCCAGGGTGCCCAGTGGCATGCAATGGCTAGGGAGCTTCTTACTGTGTACCCTGTATTTGGCAATGCCATCTCTAATGCTGGAAAGATCCTGAAGGAATACGGCGCCTCTTGGTCATTGATCGGTAAGACCTCAATCCAAGCTCTAAAATATACAACTTGCTCACAATACATTGACAGATGAACTCAACCGTGATAAAACCTCGACACGAGTATCCGAAATCCATTTGAGTCAGCCGATTAGCGTCGCTATTCAGCTTGGCCTCGTCGATTTGCTCAAGTCCTGGGGCATCACCCCTTCTGCCGTCACCAGCCATTCCAGTGGTGAAATTGCCGCGGCCTATGCAGCCGGAGCGCTGCCTTTCGACCAGGCACTCGGTGTCGCATATTACCGTGGCGAGCTAGCCCAGAAGCAACTCGAATTATCGCCGCTTACGGGTGGAATGCTTGCCGTTGGAATTGACCAAGAGAGTGCTGAACGAAAAATTGTTGAGGTCGTCCCTACCGGCGGTGTCATCGTGGCTTGTATCAACAGCCCCAACAGTGTTACTCTTTCCGGGGACTTAGACGCTCTTGAAGAGATTGCTGCTAGTTTCGAAGAGGGTGGAGTATTCAATAGGAAGCTGAAGGTCCCCATGGCCTATCACTCCCACCACATGATGCCCATGGTGGCCGAATATACCGAGCGATTGGAGGAATTGCTCAAACTTCCTGTGACACCCGAGTGGAATGGCCCCTTGTTTACCTCGCCGGTGACGGGCGAGGTTGTGACAGCAGTCAAGCAACTCAGGGCCGAACACTGGGTTCAAAATTTGACTAAGCCGGTCCAATTCAGTCGGGCATTTGAGAACATGTGCTTCAGCTCCTCGGGCTCTTCATCCCAATCTGCCAATGTTGATGTTATTTTGGAGATCGGGCCTCACAGCACCTTGGCCGGCCCAATTCGCCAAATCCTGCAGGGAAAAGATGCCAAAATGCCCTATATTTCTTGTCTTAAGCGCCCGATCAATGCCGTGGAGACAATGCAGGACCTTGCATGTGAGCTCATGTCTCAGGGCTACCCAGTAGATCTCAAGGCGGTCAACTTTCCTACTGGTGATGCTCACCACACCTTTTTGACCAATCTGCCCGCTTATCCGTGGAATCATTCAACTCGCTTTTGGGTAGAGCCAAGAATGGCTAAAGAGCAGCGGTTCAAGAAATTCCCTCCTCAAGAGCTGCTAGGCACTCCTTTGAATGGATCAAACGCTCTCACTCCCACTTGGAGAAACTTCCTTCGTCTAGGCGAGATTGAATGGCTCAAAGATCATCAGATCGATGGTACAGTCGTTTTCCCTGGCGCCGGTTATATTTCTATGGCAATTGAGGCCATACGACTTATCACCGATCCTTCCGAAAGCACAATTCGGAAGTACCGGTTGCGAGACATCGACATCATGAATGCATTGGTACTTCCGGACTCCGAAATGGGAGTGGAAGTGCAACTCCAGCTGCGTCGTTGTAGCGACAAAGAGCTTGACCACGCAGGGTGGTATCAATTCGAACTTTGCTCTCTAGCGAGTACCGATGCACCATGGATCGAGCACTGCAAAGGTTATGTCGCCGTTGAGATTGAGAGCGAGACACGAATCACCACGCTCAATGACGTGCCCGACTCGTCACGCGAAGATGCCTTTTTCGCCGATGGTGTTGATCCATCCCCTGTCGACATTGAGGCACTCTTCGCTGGTTTGCGTGAGCGCGGGATCTACCACGGCCCGATATTCCAGAATCTCATTGACAGCCACACAGCCCGTCACAGAGCAATTACGAACTTCGCAATCTCAGACATCGCATGTAAGGAGCATGATTATGTACTGCATCCCACGACGCTGGACTCTATTCTGCAAGCGTCGTTTAGCAGCTTACCAGATGATATTGGACAGGACTCCATGGTTCTTCCTCGTTCAATTCGCTCGATCGATGTTCCAAAGAATTTCAAGAGACAAGGTGGTGAAAGATTGAAAGCCTTGACTGAGATGGTCACAGGGGATACTCGTGGCTATTCATCAGACTTAACGGTTGTGTCTGAAAGTTTCGATAAAACCCGCTCTTATCTTGAGATCAAGGACTTCTTTGGCTCGGCAATTCCTCGCGCTCTCCAAGATTCAGACGAAGACGCAGGAATCTGCTCCATTAACACCTGGGAATTGGATATCCTTCACAACCCTCCCGTCTCGTTCAGAGAATCTATGGTCATTCCAGTGATGGAGCATGAAATTGAGCAGGAGAAGAAACTGGCCAGGATTTCGTATATCTTCATCCGTGATGCCGTCGCGGAACTTGAATCCCAAGACTCCGAATCCTGGGAATGGCACCACAAGCGAATGTACGCTTGGATGAGAGAAGTTATTGCACTTGGTGAAGCTGGACAACTCGGACCCAACAGTCAGACGTGGTCTAAGCTAAGCCCCGGTGCGAAGAGGATCTTGGCGGACGAGCTCAGCGCAGGGAATGCGGCCGGTCGACTCACTGTTCGCATTGGAGAAAAGCTCGCGAGCATCATCCGCGGAGAAATTATGCCCCTCGAGCTAATGACCGAAGGTGATCTCCTGAATCAATTTTACATGCAACACGAGGCTCTCAAGACCCGATCTTATTCGCATCTCGCTCGTGTTGCGGATTTATACGCAGTGAAGAATCCTGGCGCCAATATTCTTGAGATTGGAGGCGGTACAGGAGGAGCCACGAGTACAATCCTTGAGGCTTTCGGCAACAGAGGTACTGGCAACGGTACTATCCTTGGTCATTACACATTCACCGATATTTCGCCAGGCTTCTTTGAAGCCGCAAGAGAGAAGTTTGCCCCGTGGGCAAGGATGATGGACTTCAAGAAGTTAGATATTGAAATTGACCCGCTCGCACAGTCATTTACTGCTGGTACCTTCGATCTCATTGTGGCAGCCTCCTGCCTCCACGCGACCAAGAACCTCCATACAACCATGAACCACGTGCGGAAGCTACTCAAGCCGGGAGGTACGCTGTTACTCATCGAGGCTACTGCTGATCGTCTTGAAGGGCAGCTCATCTTCGGTACATTGCCGGGATGGTGGCTTGGAGAAGAGCCTGAGCGGCAGAATAGCCCCAATGCTCCACTCGAGATGTGGGATCGCGTCCTGCGGGATACTGGATTCACTGGCGTTGACTTTGAGATCAGCGACTATGACGAACCTGAGTACCAGTCCGCGCGTGTCATGTTATCGAGGACTGCTACAACGGTGCAAGTGCCGATCTCCATTGTAGTTGAGGACAAGATGGCCCAGGAGCCCCAAGAGTGGTTGACAGAACTGTCCGAGGCAGTTCGAGACAAGACAGGTGTTTTGCCAAAGGTCGTGGACTTAGGTGATGTTGATTCATTCAAAGACACAGTCTGTATCGTTGCTCTTGAGATGGAAAAGCCGTTTGTGCACAACATGGATGGAGACGCATTCCAAAAGCTCAAGGACCTTCTCCTTCTCTCAGGTGGCATACTCTGGCTCACCTGTGGTGGTCTTGTTCATTCCCAGAACCCAGCCTTCTCGGCCTCGGAGGGCCTTCTGCGAACCATGAGACAAGAGGATTCTCACACACGATGGATCCGATTGGACTTTGAAAACGACAAAGTTCCGTGGGCAAGTGACAAGATTCGACACGTTCTTCATGTGTTGGAGCGGTCATTCGACAAAGACGCCGAAACAGGCAACATTGAATGGGAGTACTCGGTGGCTGATTCCCAGCTTCATGTGCCCAGAATCTTCCCCGAGAAGACCCAGGATGCCATTGCCAGGAACCTCAAGCTTCCTCTTGAACCTTTGCTCGAAGCATTCCATCAGCCTGATAAACCTCTCGTATGGGAGACGTCGCCGAGTACCGGCCTAGAACCATATTTCGTGGAGAATCAAATGATCCTATCTACGGATGTGCCAAGTGAAATGGTGGAAGTGGAGGCAAAAGCCTTCGGCCTGAATTTCCGTGAGGTGATGGTCGCACTAGGCCAGCTGGAAGAGCCCCTGACAGGCTTCGAGTGCTCCGGCATCATCACCCGCCTCGGCCCTAATACCGAGCAGAGTGGTTTGAAGGTTGGTGACCGCGTTGCAGCATTGTGCAAGGGTCGTCTCGCGAGCAAGGGACGAACTTACTGGACATCTGTCGTCAAGATCCCGGACGAAATGCCTTGGGAAGAGGCAGCCTCATTCCCAGCGGCTTACGCCACGGCTTATGGTAGTCTCATTCAAATCGCAGGACTCCAGAAGGGCGACTCGGTGCTCATCCATGCTGCAACCGGCGCAACTGGCCAAGCCGCGATTGTCATTGCGCAGCATGTTGGGGCAGAGGTATTCGCTACCTGCAGCACTGAAGGGAAGCGAGACCTTCTCATCGAACAGTACAGCATCAAACCTGATCATATCTTCGCCAGCCGTAATGCAAGCTTTGCTGCGGGTATCATGAAAAAGACAAACGGCAAGGGAGTTGATGTCATTCTTAACTCCCTGTCTGGGCCGCTGTTGAAGGCATCTTGGGATTGCATGGCCCGCTTCGGTCGCTTTGTTGATATCACGAAGGTGGACATGGAGGCCAACCGCTGGTTGCAAACAGCCCCATTCAGCCGCTGTTCCATGTTTTCGAGTTTCGACCTGTTGCAGCTTACTGAGTATCGTGGCAAACTAACTCAAGCGGCAATTTCGGAGAGTCTCAACATCGTCCAAGAGCGTGGAATCTCTCCCGTGTACCCTGTTACGCCTTTTCCAATCTCCGAGATGGCCACGGCCATGCGTCAAATGCAAGGCGGAATGCACGTTGGTAAGTTGGTGCTTGTGCCGCAAGATGAGGATAGAATCAAGGTACGTGATGATTTTCTTTTGTGATCGCCATTGTCGAGTTGAGCTGATCAGAGTTTAACAGTTTATCCGCCGGCCATCGCCCCTCTCGCTGAATAACCCTGACGAGACGTATATGATAGTCGGTGGGCTGGGTGGTATTGGCCGTGCCATTGCGCCGTGGATGATTGAAAACGGTGCGAAGAACTTGGTGCTCGTCTCACGCCATGCCACCTCCCATCCGGAAGCGCCTCAACTTGCTAAGGTGGCCGAGAGCGCAGGATGCCGGCTCCAGATCTACGATAGCGACGTTTCAAAAGAGGCGAGCCTGCTCCAACTGATCCATGACTGCTCGAAGACATTGCCCCCGATCCGCGGAGTAATCAACGGAGCCATGGTACTCGACGATACTGTCCTGGAGCGCATGACATTCGAACAGTGGAGCAATGGTGTCCGACCTAAGATCAACAGCAGCTGGAATATTCATACCCATCTTCCCAATCTGGCATTCTTTGTCATGTTGTCATCTGTCGCTGGCGTAGCCGGCCACATGTCCCAGGCCAACTATTCCGCTGGCAACTCCTATGAGGACGCCCTTGCTCGGTACCGAACGGCACTCGGCCTACCGGCTGTGACCATCGACCTCGGTGCCGTCAAGTCGGTTGGATACGTGGCAGACAGAGAAGCCAGCGGCGACGACCGGCTGCGCGCACGCGTAGAGAATGTCGGGTTCGGCTCCGTCGACCTGGATCATGTACTGCGGATGATTGGGCATGGAATCAGTGAGTCTCTGCGCCAGTCGCCGTCGCAGAGTCAAGTTGTTGTCGGACCCAACTTCCACACCCTCCTCAACGAGTCAGTCATGAGCCATGACAGACGCTTCGGTACGCTCCGCATTTCCAGTCCGCGTGGAATCGAGACAGCCGCCACATCCACCAGCAAGACCTCTACTGTCGCGCTCGCGCAAGCACTCTCGAAGGCGTCCACTCTCACCGAGGCTGTGGCACTGCTGGTCCAGGCGATCGTAGCCAAGATTGCAGAAATCTTCAACATTCCGGTCTCGGATATTGACGCCGAGTTGCCGATGTCGCGCTACGGTGTCGATTCCCTCGTCGCTGTGGAACTCCGCAACTGGCTGAGCAGCGGCGCAAAGGCCAAAGTCACTGTCTTTGACATCCTCCAGAGCGCGTCGCTGAACGAGTTTGGTGCGCTAGTGGCGAGCAAGAGTGAGGAATTGACGTCCAAGGAGCTGCCGGCATAGGTTTGATAATGCCCACTGGTGGAGGAATAAGAGTAGACGGAGAATCCCTGGATAGAGCAAAGGATAAGAATATACCATAAAATAAAAAAAAATTGAGTAGTAATGATGTATTGTCAGTCTCATTAGACTCCGCGCTCCTGGCGAGCGTTCAACCAGAAATCCCTGAGGCGACGAGCGATGACTTTAAGAGCGACGATCACGTGGGCTTACATAAGCAGACTAGATCCATCAAATAGTTGATGAATAAACATATTGGCGCCACGCGCACTTTTGTGTGTATAATAAGGAAAAAGAAAATGACCTCCACGGCCTCCGCACAAGCCAATTCAGCAAAGAATTCACCAACCTGGGAGCTGACCTCAATTGAAAGTTTGGCCGCCAGTAGAGGTGGATCACCAATCTTGACTTTGGTATTTCCAAATGTAAACTCGAATCCCGTAATAGACTGAGTCCATGCGTCAACAAATACACATACATAGTATCAGCAGTTCGTAGCGCTTTGTCGACAAAGCTAAACGGTAAGATATCGTCAGCGGGTCGCCGGTCAGTTAAAATAGCTGGAATATAAGACCCTCACGCGAGAATCCAGGTATCCATGACATAGGTTTGCCCCGGCACGGGTCGGGAATATAAGATAATGTATATATGTATTTTGACGGCCTAGCAACCTTTAGCTTTGAAGCCTATATCATATTAAAGAGTGAACCTACATCAAAGGTAACAAGAAGCTTGGTGGGATGGTCGATAGGCTATTCTACCTTAGTACACACAAGATCGTTCGAGGTAGGACTAGAACTATACTAGTGGTTTCACTGGCAGGCCCACAACGCCTTCATTATCCGATACTCGTCGGCCGCAGAGCTTTTTCAAAGGTATAGTAACAATAGACTCGCCTCCATATCCAAAGGTACAATTATTGAACCAAAAGCCACATAGGTAACGACGGGGAAAAACATGATTAAAGTAAAATGAGGCTTTTGATATCTCACCGAAGCGGACATCTCTGTCTATTAATAGACGTGGCCCTGGCGCGGAATATATAACCTGGCGTATCATAGGGTTTGACTCGATTCCGAGTAGACGCTGTTCTACCCTTGAAAGCAAAATCTCAACATTATCCCAAACTTTGCTATAGTTATAAATAATTGGTAAATCACCTTTATGGTTATAAACGGTCCAAAAAATTCTTTATTCGAGCCCCTGTCGAAGGTTTCTAATGAGCCTCACTTTGTATTACGTAACATGCAAGGCGCCGATCGCTCATCAACCCACACGTTTGACTTCCGGACGGTTAAACACTACACTAACCAGCCCCTTAACGTTTCTTTCTCAATAGCACCAGCATATGTTATCTATATCAAAGCTACCAGCTACCAGTTTCTTCGCTCAACACGTCTCAACGCCCCATGGGAGGCGACAGTACCTGGGGCTAGCGCACGGGTCCGACAGACGTAAAATACAACCTTACCTTACAAGGCCTCATTGATGCAATAAAACGTCGCTACTCGGAGGTGTGACTGAGTCACAGTGCCCGAGATGTACCCGGGTGTCAGCACAAAGCTCTGATTGATCAGTCCACTGGTACGGAGTACAGGCCCACTTTCTGCCTTCCCACTGCGGCTGATTTGCATCGGCGCCTTCGATCGCCGCACTCATTGCGGTACTCCTCGGGCAGAATTCATATCTAAGGCTTGGGGGCTATTCGAAGATTAGTTCGCTCGAGGTCCCGGCCACCTTATCACGCACTACTGGATCGGGCTTCCTCCGCAACGAATCAGGCAATATGGAAGCACATATGCGAAGGCACAATGTGGTGAGCGCCGTGTAGGGAAATCAATGAACGAAACGTACACGTATGCGTTCAAATGTACAGGGATCCTTTTGGCCTCGGGGCCGGCGTCTTGAGCGGAGCATGCCTTGCTTCACACGTATTTGATCTGATGCTACGGGCCCTAGATTCTCGTTGATCTTATATTTTATGTTCAAGATTCACATTGAAATCGACTGCAGGCCAGCCAACGATTGAAAAAGATGTTCGGCACTATTCGATACGACAAAGACACTAATAGTCGTGAGCATGTGGAGCTCCAAAGAGCCAGTGGATTTGAGGCGAGAGGTTATACCCCAGTTGCCTGTGACCGCTGTCGTTCGCGAAAGGTCAGTGGATCTACATCGCCCCTTCTAACACTACAATCTAGGTCAATCATCGGCCATAAACAATTCTATAATTCCTCACCGCGAAAGAATACAGAAGAATACCTGCTGACATGTCTCCAGCTAAAATGCAGCGGCGACAAAGACGGTTGTGAAAAATGCCAGGCTGCCTCAGTCACTTGCACGTACCGCGATGTCTCGTCGACCAAAGACAGTAGAAAGATGTCAAAACGGGTGCGCGCTCCCAACAACCAGTTGCCTACTCCAAGCCCATGTCAGGGTTCCTGCAGCAATCAGCAACAGCCCTTGAGCACAGAGATGGACCAAGAGCCTGCTCAAAGCACGTCCGAATCTGAGCCGCTAAATTGGCCATACTCCTCTTCCGAAGAATTCACCGAATTGCCCAACACGTGGATGAGCTCGATCTTGCCAATTCAGCCTACCTCACCTGCAATGATGGATGATCATGCAACCCTCAGACTTGATACATCAAGTGGGATGCACGGGCTTCCGGAGAGCAATCACTCGTCGACAGACGCTGAGAATATATTTGACGCAGTCCTCGATACGCAGACAGCCTACCGCTACACAAACATCCCATCTCAACCAGCCCGTCTGAACGAAAATACCCAAGAGAGACGAGCAGGATGGAGCTCATTACCAGGAGGTAATCTACCATCCGCTCTCGGCGCTAACAGAAGTGCTTCCTCAAAATGTGATTGTCTCCGCGACGTGGCTCGGTTCCTGGAGGTCATTGGGGTAGAATCGACAGAGACGAGAGCTGATATGCTTCTAAAGTGCGTGGATCGAGGAATGCAGGTCTGTAGGGAGGCACTTCGTTGTTCAGACTGTAGTGTCCGTGGTGACAACGGCATGTTCCTTGCCGTTGTCTTACAGCAGCTCGTGACTCTGACTCGTACCGCGTCAGACAAGCTTCTGGCTTGGAATCAAGAACAAAGGAACTGCCAAGGGTCCTCTGGCGGGACCCACATTCCCATCGTTTGCATTGACCAGTATAGAATCGAAATACCGGATTTTAAGGTCTCGCTTATTCTCCACGTGGCCTTGTTGCACTTTTTCGGTTTGCAAGGTCTAGCGAACGGAATTAAGCATAATCTTAGGCCCAACAGTTTCGCAGAGCGACTAGTTACGGATTGCGAAAGCAGTATTGTTGATACCATCACGATGATTCAAGACAAGGCATCGAATTCGATGCCTATGGGCTCTGCGTGTTAGATTACAGGAAAGGGAAAAGATATATCCTCACTTGGCGCTGGTGTCCTCGTGGGTTAAGCGATGCCATTTATGAATAGAGTAGCATACAATATATTCCAAACATAAGAGCTCAAATAAATATAAAAAGAGGTAATAAATAGAGGTAGAATAAATAAATAATAGTAGTTAGAAGGACTAGATATACTATAGCTATTTATCTATTGTTGGAACCAGTGTTTGGCCAGCGTATCGGAATAAGCGATAGTTACGCCGCTGCTGCCACCTCATCTCGCTTAGGCACCAGTTGGCCGACGGCCCTCTGTTCTCTATAGATAAATAGCCGTAGTATAGCCTCTGGACCTTCCGTCCATCATCATCATCTAATTCTACGCCTATTATCACCTTTTTCTGTGTTCATTTGGTTGCTGAGGCATTGTTTTGTTTTGCTGCTCCGTTGTGTCTTGCAGAGGCTGCGATAACGTGTTCTCCCTACAGCTCTGTCTATAGCTAAGTAAGCCTATCACATAAAGGGGGATAGCTCTTTGGTCATGTGATATATCTTTCTACCAATTGATTAATAATATCAGGAGTATCAGCCAATAAACAGTAAGATCCACCGCAAAAGCCAATAGAAGTTACATATTTTCTCGAAAAATGGGGTGCGACAACCATGTAACGAGAGTTAAATTAAGATTTCCTGCGTCAGGGCGCTTAGAGAGTTCGGGGGAAGACATTAAGCTTAACTCTGGAGGAACTACTTTGTACCCTGTGCTACTGTTTTGGAGACTGAGCCTAGAGTATGAAAGTTTCCAAAAAATACTAGATAGTTATGGGGCCATTCAGTATCTAGTTACTATAGCTTAGTTCAAGCACGTGCCTAGGGTTTGGGAATGATCTTTATGTATCCATAGATAAGATAGAAGGAGATTTCGGGTGTGCCTGTAATACTTGCATATAGGACTTATTTTCATACTTTTAAACTCCACGATAATGACTAGGTGGAAGCTCGGTACATGTCTCATTAAGGGCCTTCTCTTGGGTGACTGGGGCCCGCTAGCCAAGTGAGGATTGAGATTCTTTCTCTCATTATCTGCCGACTGTGGTGGGCATTTAAGGCACGGTACACTGTAGATTTCAACCGGCTTCAATGCCGGTGGTCCATCTCTTGAGAGGCTATAGGTGGATATGACAATTACGAGTCGGTTTGAAAGTGAACTAAGGAAAACAAGGATATCAAGACATTAGGCCTGTTTTTAGGGAGCTTTGCACGGGGTGCAATTGGCCCATCGAGTTTCCAGTTTGGCTATTTCATGGAGAATGTGCTGGAACTTCAAGCAGAGATGTCGAAACGATGCTTGCCCTCTATCGAGGTGTAGAAGCACTATCCCTTCGAGACCTACCCTTCTGTGGCATGGAGGTAGATATGGCATACGCATTAAATACGGAGCGTCTGCGTGCCTTGAAGCCGTGGAACTGCCCCGGCTCCTTTGCTTTGCTGGAAGCTCTTGCGAAGTCAATGTCGGCCCAGAAATTGACGTCCCTGGTGATTCCTACCACAGTTTTGTCGCACAAAAAAAATGATTAGAAATAGAATTAAGCATCGCATCCAACCATGGATAGAACCTCCACGGCCTAAGTTTGCATATCGACGAGAGTTTTTATTTCTTCCAGTCATCCAGGCCTTTTACAACTGATGACTCTTAGATGAATCATGACCTTATGACCTCATTGACTGAGGGTGGTTATATAAACGCCCCAACGGCTCAGAACCATCCTAGCCATCTTTTCCATTCTTCTTACTCACAGACTCGCACTTATTGAAGCAGCCTTCTATACCCTATATTCCGCTTGAATAATCAAAAAGAATCTCTAAACAAAAGAAAATACAACAATCGCCATGGCCCTGCGTTCGAGCCTCGGAAACTTCTCAAAGCTGCCTTATGAGATCCGCGAACTGATCTGGTTGGAGTTCTACCCTGTCAGTTGGGACAAATCGAATATAGAACCAACATCAGTCCAGACCTCAGCAGATATAGATCTCAGAGTACTCCGTGCCAGTAGGAGCCTCTATGACGAGATATCGCATATCATCTACTCAAAGACGACCCTGTGTCTTAATCTCTCGCCCTTATCATGCGAGAGTGACACATTTTGGGGTGCTCTAAGGTTTAAAAGGCGCGTCAGAAAGAACGTCTTCTATGACGGAGGAGCAGTCTGGAGGCTTGAAAGCGGCTACGATGACAGAGACGACCATTTCGACTATTTTCCTTTTGACAAGTTGGCCGCTATAGAAATCAGCCTATCCGGCCCGGAAGACGCAGCCCAGGTTTTCTGGCTATGGAGAAACGTTGTCAGGACACTTGAGCTACTAGAAACAGCATCATCACTCCCGCCCATAGTCATTCGACTTCAGAAAGGCAAGGACTTCAATATACATGATCTATACGCAGAATTCGATGGCTACGACCCAAATAACTATTATTATTGCTTATTTGCCCAGGCGACTTTTCCAAAGCGCAAGATGTTAAGTTGGATAGACACTTGTCATGGGCTCCGTTATTATCCATTTTATATCTATAACTCCCCCGGGCAGTATATCTATGATATTTTGATTATACCCTTCTATTCTAAGTTACGAGGCGCTACATCTATTCAAGTTGAAGTTCACTCGTGCGAAATAAAGGATAAAATGGACTGGACCAAAATTCATTTTGCCGAAAGTGTGCTTTCTAGAAGGATTAAGGGGTGTGATTCCCTTGAATATCACCGCGATGAGCGTGAGCTCTTCCACCAGGTTTTTTCAGACTACACTGATATACATGACTGCTTGTTCCATGGCCATTACGGGGTTAAGGGGGGAATCATACCCTTCCTACACGTTGAGTGGGATTGCCAAACCTTCCGGTCTATCGGCAAAAGACCAGCTGGTATTCCACCGCCAAATAGGTATGTACTCTCTGCCTGTAGGAAAATTAAGACAACAATATCCGCTAATAGATGATCAGAAGACAATAGTTGGACTCCGTAAAAACCCCTCGCGTTCTGCCTTCGAGTTTACCATCAGGGTTTTCTGAAGACCAGATACTATAGCCCTACCTCCAGAAATTAGAGCCCACGAACAACAACTAGAAGCCCCCGGAAGGGCAGGATAATGTACCATATCCCTCCTCTGAACTGTACTTACGATTCTCTAATCACTATTACTTCTAAGTTGTCTACATATATTACTTAACTATCATCGTCATACTCTAGAAGCACAAGAGCAAAAATAATGAAATAATAACTAATACTTTTTGGTAACTTTATCTAAGCGGTAAGGGGGTGGCATATCAATAGAATACAAGGTTACATTGAGAATGGGAATGGTTTGTTAGCTTCACCACAGCCGTGGCTACTAGTCTCCAATACCACGAAGAGGTAAACCAACATTGGAGGTGGGGTGGGGTCCCATATACTTACCCGTAGTGCACTTCACCTCTTAAAACGAGAATCTACTCTTCATCGGACAGCCTCATCCAAAAGGAGAAGCAGCCCTAGAGTAATTTTGCGTCAAGTGGTACATACGCGCACTATTTACCCTCCTTCTCTAGCTGCTGGTTAGCATCCTTTACCCACTTGAGTGCCGGGCGTGGGCTCTTATCGTGCCAATCGTTAATTCGGTTCACTAGCATACCGGACTCTGCTATGAACTTCTCTTCGTGCTAGGTCAATCTCCTTCGGGCCTTCCCGCGAGCGTGGCCAGCGCTTTCGGTACTACCGGGTCCCAGAGAACCAGAGGTTCTCCTTTTCCTGGTCAGTACACTCTCAGAAGTCGGGTCCGAATTAATTCGCTGTCGACTCTTAGCCACGTCGGGTTCCTGCACGATACTTTGGCGAAATTTTCCATTTTCGAAGGCATTAATCCGATCGGCCGATGCAAGCTGTCGAACGTCCTCTACTGGAATATCCCGAAGTTTCCTCCGGGTATTCTCATTAAAGGATAGTTTCTGGCTCTGGGGGTAGAAATCTATGATCTTTCGCCATGATTCTATGTGTTCGTAGTACTCTTCATTAGGGAGGAGCCTGAGGAGACGGTTTTGGTCCTTTTCAACTTGGCGACCTAAGCCGTCCAAGTCGTCAGCCACCGTTCTCAGTGTGGAATGAAAGGCAGTATTGCGATCATCATAGGCGTTAATCGCGAGCTGAACCATGTCAAAGTCGACGGAAAGGCCGCGAGACGAAATGGCCCTAATGGCATCCTCCAGTGCCGCGCACACATTGCCATCCCTCTCGGGATTTGTGGAGATCTCTTTCGCAAGCGCGCCTCTCAGCTTTGAGACCGTTGAGGGTAGATCATTTTTCTTGGCTGTCGAGTTCATTACCCAGTCTACAACCCTCCCGGCATAGTCTCCAAGCTGGGAAAAGTAAAAATGCTCACGCAGCTCCTCCTTGGTCCGTTCCAGCTCTGCCTTCTGACGGTCGTAGTTGGTTTGGCTCTGGGCTAAGGCCAGAGCCTCATCTCTCGAAAGAGTTATTGTGTCACCATCGCCCTTCAGTTGGCGGTTAATTGTCGAGATCGCTGATCCCACGGAAACTGGGGGTACCCTCACTGCGCCCCAAGCGTTACCCTCCTTGAAATCTATAACACGGTCAGCCATTTTGATAACGGGGCGGGGATCACTCACCTATGGGGAGAAGAAGAGAGAGAGGAAGAAAGGAAAACAGAGGAAGAGAAAATAAATAAACAGCAATGAGAGTAGACAAGGTAGGAGCAGTATGGTTGCCATACATCATGTCCAGAAAGCGCACCTTCTATGGCGAAAACGCACCTCAGCATAGGCTTTCAATGCAAAGCGAAACTCTCGCTTGGGGTATCAGTCTCTGCACTACGTATATACATACATACATACATATATATATATATATATATAGGGGTATATATCCCAGAGTCACGAGTCGCAGTGGCCGAAGCAATTAAGATTACCACGATTAAGATTCGCTTAACAGAAGAAAATTAAAGCGATATACAATGTATCCAAACGATGAGAGGCTAACTCAAAGACTAGGAACTTCTGTCCCAAATCTGACCGGCTGCTAAGTCTGTCTATGACTTAAGAGTGAAGTTGACATCCGAGTTTTTGACAGCTTAGCTGGGCTTGCTTCTTTCGCTCGTGAGGATGAGGATGTGGCAGTTAAATGGTGGGTAGATTCACTAGACGGATACCCTCTTGCCGCGGTCCAAGTCAGCCAGTATGAGGGGTAGCAACTACTCATATGTAGAGCGTCTAGCCATATATAAACGAGTCCTTCAACAGGTGTTGAAAATTTTGACGACTTCCTTTGATTATGGATATACTTTAAACACCTTATCACATTGGCCGTAATGCGTCAACTGATGCCTAAACTATGGAGCTGCTTTCTGCACTGACATTCCGTGCTAGGAGATGGGTATAGTTCTAGTCGCAGTCTCCTGGTAGAACTCTTGATTGACGCAATATATGATATGTTGGGGACAGGGCAGCCCATAACGGCAAGGCTGTTCTTCGAGTTTGCACTCAACTTTGGTATCAGTTCTTTGAGTAGGTCCTATGCTGAAGCATACTGCCTACTAGGGCACTGTGCTCTAGACGCAGTCCGCATACGGGCAGCTCTACTAGCATACCAAAGGGCATATGTGAAATGGCCAAAGGCTGATTCCATCTTCTCACTTTACATAACAATTCTTGAGTATAAAATTCGCGATGTTTCTTTTTGGATGTTTTGATGTTGTTTTTTATACAGCGCGAACGGTCACGTGCACACCCCAGACGCCTAGACCTGCGGCGACTCTCCTTATCCAGATAAGGAAATATAAATATTCAACGAAGCACAGAAAGCTCTTTTTACAGCCTGATACGCCGCCCACGATATTCAATTCCTCATGGATAAGTTGATTGAGCGTTGTCTATCAAGTGCCATCTCTTAATTTCGCCAGCTTTAGCTATTCTCTTCCGACTGTGTGCCAATGTCTACAGCTACAACCCAGCGCCGGCCTTCATCCTCCCCCTACCTCCTCTCCCCTGGCGGATATGACGATGATGCCTCGCCTATTCGTGCGCTGTCTGACCAGGAGTCAGATTCTGAAGATGACCAGCTCATGGAAGCTTCCCGGAGCACACTCGATCTAGTTCAGCACGATCGTACGGTGTTAGAAGAGGAAGAGGAGCGAGAGCGCCTGTTGATAAGGGCAAAGTCTAGCCCCACAGATGGCCTGAGAAGGATATTTGGGGCCACACCTCATGACAATGGGAGTTTTAGTGTGAAAATTGGAAAGAGGGACAGAAGGAGACGGAGAAACGAATCCGCAATGACAAGAGATCGAAGGAGACGGAGGAGCTCTGCACAGAGCAATAATGACGCTATGAATATTGGAGAAGAGGATGAATTAATGTACGAGATGGAAGAAGGTGTCTGCAAAGCTATAGAATCTGATGACGATTCACGGTCAATGTCGACAATAAGTTCAATATCCATCGATTTGGACCCTAGAGTTATGGGTAACGGGGGTCATTATGGCAATGTAAGGCTTGGACCCGTCAATATTACCAAGTCATACCATTCTAACAACCTTTGTTTATTTCTAGGGCTCATCGTGTCGAATGATGTCTCTCCTTTCCTTCGCTATCCTGATTTTATTTTCCCTGCTGTACCTAGGCGCGTATAAGGCTTCAAGTGGCTACCGGATATCTCACCAACAACAGCCCAATACTATATCTAACGGAACCTCGATTTTTCTACCAACCACTATTCTCATTTCCCTTGATGGATTTCGAGCAGACTTCCTCACCCGCGGCCTCACGCCAACCCTCAACTCATTTATAGCCAATGGAATTTCGCCCAAGTATATGCTCCCAAGCTTTCCATCCGTAACATTCCCTAATCACTTTACCCTAGTAACAGGACTCTACCCTGAGAGCCATGGAATTGTTGGAAACACTTTTTGGGACCCTGTGTTAAAAGACGATTTCTACTATACGAAGCCTGGAAAGAGTATGCAGCCAAAGTGGTGGACTGCCGAACCCATCTGGGCCACTGCTGAGAAACAAGGGGTGAAAACTGCCATTCACATGTGGCCGGGATCAGAAGCACATATAATGGGAATTGAGCCCACGTTCCTGGATAAATTCAATGGAAGTGAGGCTCTACCCCGGAAAGTTGATCGAATATTCGATTTTCTAGACCTTCCGGGGGAGAATGATGAGGATATTCCACCGTCCATCCAGCAGCGGCGGCCTCAGCTCATTGCAGCTTATGTTCCAAATGTGGATGCCGCGGGACATAAGTTTGGCCCTAACAGCACGGAAATTAGGACAACGATTGCTAACGCTGATAAAATGCTGGCTTCTATCCTTCAAGGCTTGAAGAAAAGGAACCTAACTAATGTTGTCAATATCGTGGTTGTCTCCGACCATGGAATGGCTACCACTTCAACGGACCGACTGATACAACTTGAGGATCTAGTGGATCTCAACCTGGTCAAGCGTATCGATGGCTGGCCGCTTCGAGGACTTGTACCAAAACGAGAGGAGGATATTCAATTACTATATAATCAAGCAAGGAATCACTCCGTCTTCCTGGGGTTTGACGACTACCTTGAAATATATACTCGGGAGACGATGCCGGAACGTTATCACTTTTCGAACAATGATAGAATTGCACCAGTGTGGATAATCCCCAAGACTGGCTGGGCAATCGTCGAACGACCAGACTTCGATGTGCAAAAGGCTCAGAAGCATGGCATAGCCTACAGCCCAAGGGGTTTGCATGGATATGATCATGAGCATCCTCTTATGCGAGCTATATTTGTTGCTCGTGGGCCCAGTTTCCCACACAAAGCGAATAGCCGAGTCAAAGAATTCCGTGAGTTCATGTCTTCACACACTATATTATTCTTGAGCGACACTAGCGTGCTAACGGTTGACCAGAGAACATTGAAGTATATAATATAATATGTGATTCACTACGAATTAAACCTCGTCCCAATAACGGCACCTTGCGCCTTCCCTTGAAGCCTGTTGGACTACACTCCGATGGAAAAACCGCTCCCATCGAAAATCTAGACGATCTAGATCCACAACCATCGATCACAGTACCAGCTCCTACCCGGCCCCCTCTCCAACGTCCAACTGCCCCTGCGGAGGAAACCAGCACACCTTCTCCTCCCGAGCCAGCTGATCAAAGCCAGAAAAAGACTTCATCCTTTTGGGGTAGGGTTATAAGCAGGTTCAAAGGCTGGACAAATTATTTGATCAGTTCGGTAGGGTTAGGATGAATACACCTGGAATGCCATATTTTGCCTATTGAACCAACATATTATTGTTTCCTTGGCCTGATTTCTGTTCACATACCCCAATCTACCTAATGTTTCCGTTTCTTATCTACGCCTGCTATAATTTTTCTGCATTAATTGTGTTATTATGGCTGGATTTGGATTACGGCGCCTTGCATTACCATTTCTTTATATTGGCGTGGCTATGCGTGTTTACTGATAAATTTATTATAATGACTGCCCAAGAGAGGAAAGATCTTGTTCTTCAATTGAAAAATATTATCAGCGGTTCTCATACCTTACTCGCACCAACTGCCCACTTAACCTGCGGTGTTGCCTGATATACGGATTCAACCAAGCCTTCAACGCACTATTAAAGCTGGTGAGGGTCTTAAACTAGGCAACATACAAGGTTAAAGCTATCTCGCCAATAAACGGTGACATCCCAGCACAAAACCAACTGTAAATGTCTGCAATACGAAATGCATACTTTCTCCGGCCTTGCTGCCTTGGGCTAGAATATAGTGGCGTATATAAACATAAGAGGGGGGTTTCATCTATAAAACCAGCTCTCTCTCCTCTCTACGATCATATCATTCAAGCAAAGATAACTATATCCAAGCCTATACAAACACAACTCTTAAAAAAAACGCGCACTTGATTAAGGATGACCACCTTTCCTACTCAAAAGATCCATCCATGCCTGTGGTTCGACAAGGAAGGCCTCGAAGCCGCTAGGCTGTATACCTCTATCTTCGCCAACAACCCTTTCACCAGCAAAAAGGATTCATACATCATAAATGAAGCTGCCATCACCAACGAGTCGGCGGTGCTGGTATCCTTCAAACTGAACGGACAGGAGTTCTCGGCTCTCAATGGCGGACCGCATTATAAACATACCCCTGCCATCTCCATGTTCGTGACCTGCGAGGACCAGGCGGAAGTGAATTATTTCTGGGACGAGCTGTTGAAGGATGGCGGGAAGCCGGTGCAGTGCGGATGGTTGACGGATAAGTTTGGCGTGTCCTGGCAGATCGTTCCCAGAGCGCTTATGGTGATGTCTGCGGACGAGGATAAGGAGAAGGTGAAGAGGGTGCAGAAGGCGATGATGGAGTGTGTTAGGATGGACGTGAAAAAGTTGGAGGATGCGTATAATGGGGTTGAGTAGTGGTTTTGTTCATTCTCATCTATATATTTGTTATTACCGGTTGTGAGGAAGACAAGATGCGTTCTGGATAGTTAAGATTGGCATCCAATAGCTGGATATTCTAGCTGGTAAATAATCTTGTATATACAATATTATTATAACGAGTTATAGCAAAGCAGAAAATTTTGCAGGGGTATCGAAGCTTGCAAAAGCCCAAAATAGCCAGTATAGAAACGAAAGAAAGGGGAAGCTTGGCTAGGGGTGTCTATGTTGTGTAGAATTATACGGATAGTCAAAGAGAAATGTTGTAAGGGAGTGCAAGCAAGTTGGATATGAAAGTAGGAGGTCAGGGTCTGGGGGTGAGAATACACGGGGAGGAGGCTTGGAAAGGGAACTTTCAAGGCCAAAGGGGGTCAGTCGAAATGGGAATGGTAATAATAAAGAGTAATAAGGCCAGATGCAGTTCGTATCCTTTTTAGGGGGGTATGTATGTATGGATGGATGGATATATGTCGTTGGAGCCATTAGGACATTATCATGGGAACAAGCAAGCAAACAAGACGATGCAAAGGAGGCGAGAATGAAAGAAGGCAATTTTAAATGAAGAGTGTATACCCAGACACCGGCAGGAAAGAAAAGAGAAGGCGGTTATCGTCTAGAACCCGCGCGGCCCCCATTACTATTATTGATACCGCTGAAGTAACCCTCGTCGATCTTCAGTATCCATTCGATCTTCTGTGCTTCGGTCCGCGAAGCGAAGAGGAATGTATTCTGTGTTCCAAACACGGCGAACACATTTGGTTGACCGCGCGTCGATAGACCGTTGCCAGATCCGACGAGTAACCTGGCGAAATCCGGGTCATGGTCGACGTGTGAATTGCGCAAGTTGATGACGTTTATTTCATCACCGTCAGGTACGGAGTATATATGCAGATAAGGCAGCCTGAGCTCGACGAAGCGACGGACCCATAGGCTATAGGTATCGTCTGGGGTGTAGAGGTAGCCGGACTTGAGGATGGTGGGGTTTTTCGGAATATGTGTGATGGTTGCGAGGAAGCGAGGTTTTGACGATGATCTATCCGTTGATGTTGATGGTTGAGAAGAGGCGTTTGCGCTGGAGGTTATGCTATCATTATCTGTGGAGGAGCCTGTTGCGGTTGTGGATGAGGTCGGTGCAAATGCGGCCCCTTGCAAAGGAGGTTCTATATGGTCCTTTACGAGGATTGCGTCTGTAGGATCTTTGCTTGCGGACCAAAGACTGAGATATTTACGTAGTAGCTGATCTCGTCTCTCGGCGTTTTCGGGTATATTTCGTGATAACGGGGTGGACCGGCCGTTTGTTGCTGATAGAGGGGTCAAGCTGCCGTCGCTCAGAGCAGCTCTGGCAGCTTCAATCTCGGCTACTCGATGTCTCCTCTTCCGCGCAGCTATGTAATCCTTTATCAGGGAGACTTTCCGCGGAGACCAGGTAGTCAGTAGCTCCTCGCCCTTGATGTAGTCGTTTTGCGTATTCATGCGCCACAGGTCCGCAGCCCGTTTGGCTGAAACCGGCCGGACAGCGACAGAGAACATCTGCGAGGTCGAGTGCACCACGCGCGTAGAGGTCCAGAACTGCTTGAACATCGACTGTGGACGGACGCTAGATCGGCCTAGGATCTGAAGAGACTGATCAAGTTCGAAGACAATGGGTTCCTGGAGACGGGAGGAAATCAGGTTCCAGCGCAGCGTTATCTGGACACGATACTTATCTGCCGTCGTACGGTCGAGGAGCAGCGAGCCATGCGAGCTAGAATCCCACTGTCCGATGATCGTTATATTTGACGACCCATCCGCGTTATCCTTGACCATTGGCTCCTGGATCATTTTAAGCGGTATATCGGGCGACTTCCCATCGTCTAGGTCTGGCACTTTACCCCATGGGTCGAGAAGCCGGACACCACCTACTCGCAGACCGGTAAGATCATCCCACGGCAAACTCTCCGTCGAGCTATGCGCCAGGTTCACGACGATACGGCGCTGAAGCCCCTGATGAAGCTGGTAGGTTCCGGCTTCCAGGCTGTTAGCCTGCACGACGTCTACGGGAAGATACTCGCCGTTCTCAGCGAGTTCCAGTATCTGCACGCCAGCAAAGACATCGTGTCTTTCTTCCTGGAAGTATTCCGACTCCGCTATCCGAGGTGCTTTCCTCTTCTGCGGCGGCGCTTCAGGGGCATCTCGCATTTCATCCCAACTAAGCAGCTTATCAAGATGCATGGTGGACACGAGCGCGAAAATGCTCACTTTCAAAGTCGATGTTCGCGGACTGTTCAGTGGCAAACTCATGCTATGCACGCTTTCGAATTGGACTGGGTTTTCGTCAAATCCGCTTATTATCTGTGTCGTGGTTGCGCCGCCTTCTTCCGAAATACCTGGCACGAACAGCTGGGCGTGAACATCGGTGCCCTCACGTTCAGCGAACCCGACTAGATCCCGCATGACGACGTTGAATTTGAGCGTCGATGAAGGCGCCTGTGCCGCGGAGGGTTCGAGGGACAGCCTGAGTATTCCGATGACGTTCTGGGTGTAGATTGAAACCGCTTCTACGGAGAAGTCTTGCACCCTGGACTCGAAGACTGCGGTCAGGGGTACATCTGCGTCTCCGACAAGCGAGTAAGTAGGCGAGCATTGTTCCGAGAAGGGGTTTTCAAGCTTGAAATGCTGGATGTAGTCTGGCCTGTCGATGTATTGGTGCATCTGGCGCATGGCCTGTACGCGGCGTTCGAGCTTGTCGAGCGACCAGAGGAGAATGACATTATGCTTGAAGTCGATGACCCGCACCGCGATGCAGGGCTTCTTCGCATCGTCCAGGGCAACGTCGTCGTCGCCTGATATGCCGTTTAGCACCAGATCGTATGAAGAGCCCATGCTCTGACCGACGTCGACGATGGCGAATTGGAAAAAGACGTTCTTGTCCATTATATGGCTCATCACCTGTGCTTCCTTGAGGAGCGAAGCATGCTGCAAGACGGACTCGACCATCCGCACATAGTTTTTCCTCCGCCAGTGCGAGAGTACGTTCCTGGCTACTTCGATCTCGCGCGGTTCCAAAAAGGAGAATCCAGGACCGTCCTCCGTCATGTGTCCCGATAGGTGCGCGATGCCCTTCATCTGCGTCTCAAAG